AACCTGGTCCCTACTTAGGGACCTGGGACCCAGGCAGCTTGTCTACTTGGCCCCACAGTCTGGCAGCCATTCCCACAGTCCAGCAAGCTCCTCATACAGTCATAAAAGATCCCGCATCCCTCTGGACCCAGGTACCCTGGACAGCCCGGGTGAGCAGCTCAGCTCCCGGGTTGGAAACTGTAGCCCTACTCAATTCTCTTCCTACTCACCCAGCTGCCACATGCAGTTGCCAAGTTGCACTGACCTCACCGGGCAAGTCCTCCCCCGCTTTCCAGTCTCACGGTGGGCCACTCCAACACACTCAAAAAGATGCTGGCTGCACCAGCTCTCCAAGCCAACACCCATAATGCCACTTTCCTTCCAAAACAGCTTTCTGCCTCTTCACCCCAAAACACCCCTTATAAACACTTGATGTCCAGTCCCTTAGCATTTGCCCCTGTTCTCAAAGGTCCTCGTGCCTGACAGTCCCTACACCGGCCCCCAGCCTCTTAGATATGGCCTCTCCCTTTTTAGGGAGAGGCACCTCACATCTGTGCCATACATCCAGTCTGTGTTCCTTTTGGCCCTTGTCCAGGTGAGGACCTAATGGTCACCAACGATGATGGAAACAGTGTTTCTTAACAGTGGACAGAAACAAAAGCAGCGTGGGAAGAGTAGAACAACGCAGATGAGACAGGGGAGGGAGGGAAGGGCGGGTCGCAGCAGTGAGAGTCAAGGAGGTGGAGATGCTGAGCAAGGTCTGGAGGAACACATGGTGTTTTGCTGCTGAGGGTGTGGGCAGACAAGGCATCATGTGCTCGGTTTGGCAAGCAGCCCCACCTGGCTGGACCAGACAGGTGAGGGATGCTGAGGTTGAGAGGCCATGGGTAGAGCTGGCTAAGGAAGAGCCCCCAGAAGGAAGGAACCCAGGACCAAGAACGGAGACCAACTGAGACAACTGCTGCTGAGTGGACAAAGTTCTAACTGACCTCATGAGAAGATGTGCCCAGCCACCCACCTCCAGACCCGCTGGTCATGCTGGGATTCCCACCTGCTACTTGCCACACTGCTGCCCCGCAGCACCACCCCTGCAAACAAATCCCAGGTACTGGCTTCCTAAGAACAGGCGGTCCTTGCCTGGGAGGTCTCTGGGTGCCAAAGAGGCAGACACCACCCTGGGCCACTGGAGTGGCCTGGACAGGCACATACTCACCCTGGCCTTCTGCTTTTCAGCCTGGAGCTGTGCGTCGATCTCCTCAGGACTCGTGTACTGTCGTGCCCGGCCTTTGTGGCCTCCCTTTCTCCCTGCACAAGGATGGGTACTTTAGGAAGGTAGGCAAGAAGCCGTTTTCTTGATTGCCCAAATGTCCTCAACAGGCTATACTATTTGGGGTGCTCTCACCAGAGGCTTTATGGACCTCACCTTCCCTTCACCACACCACCCATACCTACTCCCCACCCTCACTGTTCAAAGGGACACAGAGGCAAAATGATACAAACTGTGTGCTGGGAGTAGGCACCCATGATTGGGACTTGAAGAGGGTATGGCGGAAGGTGCACGGCATGGTAGGGCGGGCTAACCACCCTGGTCCCTGAGAATCCAAGTGGACTGAGACAAACGCCAAGAACATGTAGTCCTTCTGCCTGCTCTCTCCACCGTGCTCTGACTTGTAACGCTGTCACACCATAAGCTCATCTGATCCTCAGAACAAATTTATGGTACAGGAGTCACTGCTGGTCCCATTCTAAAGGCACAAAGACTTAAGATCAAAGTAGAGTGGTGAAGAACATAAATGCTGGAGTCCAGCCATTTGCTTTAAATCACAGTTCTACCACTTACTAGCTCTGTAACTTTGGGCAGGTACTTAATTAACCTTCTCAGCATCTGTTTCTTCACGCGTCCCCACTGCATAGGGCTGTCGTAAGCTGGACTTAACATGTATAAAAGCTGTTGGAATCACACCTCACACTGAATAATACTACAAGAATGTTTGCTGTGGTTGTTACTTTTCTAATGTAGTACCTGTTGTGGGGAGAGAGTCAAAATTGCTGGCCACACCAGCGATTTACTACAGATATTAGGGCATATCATAAAATACTTTGTGTTCACCTACATGGTAGGTAAAACTATAGGAGAAAACATGCATGGCAAACAAAGCTGAAAATAAAACAGACTGCCAATTAAAGAGTTCAAAATGCAATTAGAAGTTCATCTAAGACTATCAATTTTACACCCTAACCCTCCTGAGTGAGGACACCAGACTGATTCCTGGCTAAAGCCATTAGCCAATTTTATAGCTGGGTGGGACCCCTCTGCTGGTCCCACAGGATGCTGGGGTGGGGAAACCGTAGCCCACTTGGTTTCCAGTTTCTCACCCTAAGCAGAGAATTTGCAACTAGAGAGCCAGAGCTGTTCCATCTCCAGAGATGGTAGCAGAGATACTGGCCTCCCCAGACTTCTTAGACAGCAGCTGCACAGTCATAATTAGGCTGCTATGCACCACACCACCCATATTTAATGACTACCGGGACTCCCAGGGGCGTCTCAGTCTATGCTCATACAGTCCTAGTGTGAGAGATCAAGCTTTCCATTAAAGAAAACCAACATCCCTCTTACATGCAGCGAATAAAGGCGAAGGATGCTGGAAGAGATGGGGTGAGGGCAGAGCTGAAATGGGTAAAGGGTGTCAACTGTATGGTGAGAGACAGAAACTAAACCTAGTGGTGATCATGACTTAAGAATACAGATGTTGAATTATAATGATGTATACTCGAAAGTTACATGTTATAAACCAATGCTATCTCAATATTTTATAGAACACCTTTTGTGCAGTATTCCAGACAATAGCAACTACTCAAAACTGGCTACTTCAGGTGTCCATCCTGTATACTTGGCTATGGGATATTGACCTTAGGTTGGCTGGCAGTAACTTTTTCCAGAAATCCTTCCTGCCTTTAAAAATGCTTCAAGTTGCATAATGAAATCAAGAGCTTGCCCTTTGCTTTTGGGGAATTTTATTCCTCTTTTAAAATCATGTATTCTTTTGCTTTTCATGCACATTATTAACAGAATTAGATGCAAACCTGTCTGCCCACAAAGCTTTTGTAAAGCCAAAGGGCTAAGTATTCATATTTAGAACTTTAATACTATAACCTCAGTATCAGTTCAAAGTACCTATTAAGTAGGTTTCTAGGGATCCAGAATTTGGGAGTTAGAAAAAGTCTTTAGCAGAACAGAAGACAGAGGAACACAAGGGAGCAGTGGTTCTTCCCACCCCAGAATAAACGAGTGGAGAGTTGGTTCAATGGAATCAGCTCTGTAAAGCCCAGGATCTCTGGAAGTAGTCATGAAGTCATTAGGTTTGAAAAAGCTCTGAGAGCTTTTCACAGACTGATGTATCTTAACCAGCAGACACATCATACCTAACACACATAATGTAACAGTAGACACCTAATACCAATATTAAACATATGTTCTGTGCCAGAAGCTAGCCAATGTCCAGTGCTCCATCATTTGATGACCCAACTTTCCAAGCTAAGGGTTCTTAGTAAGCAGATATTCCAGATGATAAAAACAAAGTGGAGGAGGTTAAATTAACTTGCGCAGGGCCACAGGGTAAGACAGAGGCACAGATGGGCTTCAAATTGGGAACTACTGACTCTCAGGGGAAAGAGAATGGAAGACCTAGACGTACTGGGAAGTCATGGATCCTGGCGATCATACAAATAATAGTGCTGACTGGGCACTTCATGACGGCCGGACACAGTATTGCGCACCCCACGTGGATTACCTACTTTGGGCCTGGCATAGCACTATGAGGTAAATACAATCACAGACCCCCTGCAAATCAGACAACAGAGGAGAGATCTTAAGCAGCTGGCTCAAAGGCACCCGGGCAGCCGCTGCCCAATACAGTAAGTGCTCGGCCTACCAGGCTCGGGAGCATCACGGTCACGTTAAGTTTCCCTGGGCAGGCCTGGCTCGCCCGCAGCCCGAGGACCCATGGTGTCCGCGTGAGGCAGACCGGCCCAAAACTGACGCGAAACGCGGTGACTCAGTGCCCGGCAAGCCTAGACGTGGGCGGCAACTCCAGACCCCCAGGTCCGGGGAAGCGCTTCCCAGAAGCGGCCTTCCAAGTCGGTAAGAACCCAGGGCCTCCGAGTCGTCTCAGAGCGCGAGGGGGTGGTTTGAGATCACTTGGGTCCTCAGTTTCCCCATTGGGACAATTGGGCGTCGAGGCCCAGGCCTGATCCTTAGCTGGCGCGGACGTCCTCGCTCTGCGCCCCTCTCCGAGACGTCCGCGGGCTGAGTGGACAGCTACGGCCGGACTCAAGCCGCCCCTCGAGGCCCGCGGGCCACGCGCGCCAGCCTCTCACCTCCTTTAGGCATCGCGGCTCCGGCGGCTGCGGCGGCGGCGCCTCGAACTGACACAGGAACCGGAAATACTTGGGCTCGACTTCTTCCGCCCGGCCCAGTACCTCCGCGCGCTGCCGCCGCCGCCGCCGCCGCCGCGAGGACGGGGAGCACCCGAGGCCGGCGCACGAAGCAGGGCTGCCCCACGCGGCGCCTGAGCCCAGGCTCGCCGGCGCGCTGCCGGGCAACAGCGTCCCCGGCCTCCGCGCCCCTGGAGACACGTGACCCTGCCGGCCACCCTCCCGAGAAAGGAGGGCAAAAGACGACAGCGGCACTGGGGTTCTATACAGGCAGAGCCGCGGACACCTACGGTGACGCAATCTCCCTGCGAGGTGGGCGGGGCTCTGCGAGGACCTCATCCGGAAGCGATCACCGGGGAAGCGGAAGCCCTGGTTGGAGAGGCGGCGGCAGCCAAGAGCGGCGTTTCCGGTGAGTGTTTTTCCTCCGTTCTCTAGTAGCTTGGTAACGGCTGGGACCCGGGCTGGGAGGTCTGCGCTGGCCCAAATCTCTGTGTGAACGGCTGAACTGGAAGAGATCGGGCCTCTGGACCGGAGGCCGGAGTGAGTGCACCAGGGGCGGCGGCGCCTAGTTCCTACTGCTATGGGGGATGGGGGGAATGAGAGATTGGAAGGTTTTCTTGCTTTTAGGCGTATTTTTTAACGCCAATATTTTCCGTACAAACACTTTATTCTTATAAACCCGGTTCTGATACATTCCTGTCTGTGAACCTTTCCTACAATGCCGCCTCAACATCTTACTTTCTTCCAAACGTCTTGGCAGCTCGCCGCCTCTCCCGAGCGCTGCAACCTTTCTGAGACCGCCCGACACCTCTTGTGGATTTAGTTTCTTTCTACTTTATTAGCTCCCGCGTGAGTCCTCAATGAACGCCCAGGGCCCTCGAATTTCCCTGGGTCATACGAAAGTGGTCGTCGTCCTCTGCTTTCCCTGCCTGTGCGCCCTGGGAGTGGGGACCAGATCCGTCCACCTCTAGCTCCAGTTCAGGGGAGATCGGTGATTTGGGTACCAGGAACCCCGGATTAGAGGGAAATGCCAGCTCTCAGTTGTGCACAACCCTAATTTTACCTCTTAGAGTTGGTCTGTTAGGAGAATTCATGAAGGAAGCTCAGTGTTTTTGTGGACCTTACACAAAGGTGCTTTGTAAAGTCGGAGAGGAGGGACTGAATGAATTTAGGAGAGAGGAGTTTGCTGTGCTTAAGGTAAGAGATGATCTGATTTCTCTTCCCAAGCTAACGCCATGTGGTTTGAAAAAATGCTGTTGCTCAGAGTTGGCCTATATATGGGCTTTACATGATAGGCCTTTATGTGGCCTGTATGTTGAGTTTAAGAGAGACCTTGGCAATCTAGCTAACCCACTGCTCAACTCACAGGTGAAACCAAGGGCGGGACCTACCCAGAGACACAGAGTAATTCGTAGAGTTGGATAGGAACCCAAGCTTGTGACTGAAGAGACCAGAAATCTTTCTGTTACATTCTTTGGAAGCAGGTCCTAAGGTATTTTGGTATGGGCCATTTCTCCTTTTAAATACATATCCTCTTGGCTCCCCAGCCATAATTCTCCTCAAACTGTATTGTGATTGCCTTTCACTTGTCTATGTTATTGCTACAATGTCACTTTCTTGGTGACTGAACATCAGATCCCTAAAGTTGTCCTCTTCTTTATGCTGTGTTACATTTACATATAGTTGAAGTTAACAACAATAGCAAATGTCTGTTACGCACACATTATGTCCAGGCACGTTATACAGATTTAAGTCTTTTCAAGTGATCCAGTCAGATAAGTTGTTATCCTATCCCCATTTTATAAAAGAGAAAAGTGAATGTGCATCAGATTGTTGGCTGGTAAACACCTTTAGGGATCTGATGTTCAGACACCAACTCATTTTTTTTCTTTCTTAGATCTTTGTAAATTATTTTGTGTGGGGAAAATGCCTAAAGTCAAAAGAAGCCGGAAAGCTCCACCAGATGGTTGGGAGTTGATCGAACCAACATTGGATGAATTAGATCAAAAGATGAGAGAAGGTGAGTGGACCTGTGTGTATCCAAGGCGCCTCCAGACGTGTGGTGGTAGATGCCCCCAGAGACCAGGCACGGATATGGAGAGACAGGCAACACCCTTGTGGCATCCCCACACCAACGCAAATCGTTTGCTATTAACTCAGGAATGCCCTAAGTGCCAGAGAGTATACTCTCAAACTTTTTTTGGCCTTATATGTAAAAACTTTAAGAAATGTAGATCAAATCGTTTACCTGTAATTATTTCTATTTTGGTTACGTGTGTGATTTAAATCACATGAAACAGATTTACTTGGGAAATGCTGGTTGTTGTCACTTTCATATTTTCTGAAACATTTCATTTAGATTTTTCTTGTGGTTCTCTGATACTGTTTTCTCATCGATTTGTTTTCCCACCATCTACCAAAATGTACCAGCTTCATGTCCCTCTAAGTATCGTGTGGCCCTGCAGCTTGTGGATCAAGTTTAGGATGATACTTTAATTAGTCTTTGAAAATATTATCTGAAGCCACAAGTATCTTTTGGCCTTATATGGTCACAGTGTAAGCACAGTCTTTAAAAAACACTTCTGGGCCCTCCTTGGTGGCACAGCGGGTTAAAACACAGTATGAGTTTGATCCCCACTCCGGAGGTGACCACATGGCACAACAGACCACTCCTGACTCGCCCGCTGCTCCCCTCAGCAGTGTACTTCATCAGTGGGCCTGTTCTGCTCCCACTCTGTCTCTGTGAATCCTCTCACCACACTTGTACCTCTGGCCTGTACCATAGTTCTGTGTGCATAAATAAATAATTCTTTTTTAAAAAAAACTACTTTTATAACCAGTCTATCCCTTGTTACTATGAGGTCATATCTCCAGCATTAATTACTGAATCAATATTAGGAAATTGGCACGTTACTTTCCTTTTTTCAAAACAGATTATGTCTGGTAACCTCTATTAAGTACCCAGAACTTGTGGTAACCAAGGTCATTTCGGGCAGAGAGTTGACTAGTTCTTTATTCAAAAAGTGGGAAGTTGGGAGAATACTGTAATTGTGATTTTGTGAGTCCTTAAAAATAAATCTACTCCCTTTAGGGGATGACTTTTGAGGGTAGAGAGGAATTTTATCTTATATTTACATATGAGTAATATTCTTTACATCCATTTTAAAATTTAACTGCACTGCCCTTCCACATTTCTTTGGTTCTCCATTTGATAAATTCACAGGTTTAAGACCTGGTTTCAAATAAAAGCAGATGGTAGCTGGCACAGAATTGGTTGCAATGTTGGGAATAATATAGGAGCTCTTGGCATGTGGCAGAATGGAGAGGGGTAGAATTTGCCACTTATTGGAGCCCATTGTACCATGTGGGGTGTAGGCTCAGCATTGCTGCTTTCCTCCCCCATCCCAGGGGAATCCAGAAATCCTCCTGTTCTGTCAGCTCCTCTAATGGATAGACAGAGAATGAGTGAGTTTATATCAGTTTGCTCATAACCATCCCATGGCTTCCCCCCATCAGAGCAAAACCCAAGGTCCTTCCGAGGCCAGGTCCAGCATGCTTTCATCCTCACTCCTCCTTGAGCTCTGTTCTTTACTTCTCCTTCACACCCCAGCCACCACAGCTTTTGATCCCTCAGTACAGTCCAGCCTCAGGACATTTGCATTGCTATTTACTGTCATAAGCAGATTCACCCCTTTCCTTAAAATATCTAGCCAGGTGGTTCCTGTGTGTCTTCATTGATCACCCATATAAAATGCAGCCCCTAATTTCCCTACTCCACTGGTCTGGGGCACCCAGAGCCTTTAGGGCCTTGCCTAAAAAGGCTGGGTCCTCCTGTTTTTATTGGGTCATTTGGATCCTGTTTGTTGAATTGAATTCTAAATCCTAAGTGATAGAATGCTCTCCAAGTTGGAGACATGGAGGTATAGTTTTCTTTATTCCTTGCTTTTCTCCTCTGCCTTAAAAACTGAGAGGAGGGCCCTCCCTGGTGGCGCTGCGGGTTAAAACACAGCACTGAGAATCTAAAGCCGCTTCCGCATGAGTTCAATTCCCGCTTGCCCCGGAGGTGACCACATGGCGTGGCAGACCTCTCCTGACCCGCCCGCTGCTCCCCTCAGCAGTGTGCTTCATCGATCTGCCTGTTCTGTTCCCCACTCTGTCTCTGGTGAAGCCTCTCACCACCCCTGAGCCTCTGGCCTGTACCCCAGTTCTGTATGCACAAATAAATAAATAAATCTTTAAAAAAAAAAAAAAACAACTGAGAGGAGGTGGTAGATAAAAATGAACTCAAACTGGCTAAAAGACTTGTGGCAGGTGAACTTGTGGCACGGACTACAGGAGCATTAACTTTAACAGACCAGCTGTACTAAAACTCTCAGACATATCCAATTAAATTTTTTTCCTGGCTCTTGTTACTAAAGGATTATGCTGGGAAATTAAATTACCAGTACCTTAAAAACGAGGAGGCTGCTCCTCTGAGTGTAGAATTACTTGTACATGTATTAGGCTATAGAGAAATAGGTCTCAAGTGGAGACCAGGGTTTATCAAATGAGCTTTGAATAATTACTTTATATGTTTACTAATTTATCTAACTATAAAGACTTGAAACAATTATATTGTTCAAACTTTGGCTAGCTAACTGAGCTTTTAAAAATGTTAACAGTTCTGTAGATCATGTACTGCTAAATTCATTCTTTTAAAGTATCCATTTAAGGAGTATTTAGTATGGTCACACAGTTGGGTAAACCAGCACAATTCATTTTACATCTCATCACCCCAGAGCAATCTCTGTGCCCTTTAGAAGTTACCTGCCCACCCATATCTCCCAGTTGTAAGCAAACATCAGTCTACTTTCTGATTGAATAGACATAAGTGGACAATTTGTGGTTTTTGGGACTACCTGCTTTCACTGAGCATGTTACTCCACAGAGCCGTGTTCCATGTTTATGACTGACTAATATTTCCCTAGTGTGGACAGATATCTAGGAGTGTTTCTGCTTTTGGGCTGTTGTGAGTGAAGCAGCATGTACAAGTTTTTGTGTGCTTGTGTATTCTTTTGGGTGCACACCTATGATTGGTGTGTCCAATCATATCACTGAGTCCAAAATATTACAAAATATTACTGTTAAACTCCCTAAGGAACTGCCAGACTATTTCCACAGTTTTACATTCCCACCAGCAGTGCAGAGTGTTCTAATTTCCCTGCGTCCTTAATACTTGTCATTCTGATGCTGGTCACCGGAGTGGCTAGGAAGTATGATTTATTCTTTATCTCTGCTGAACAAATAAATGCTGTATCCTGCAGACTAACCCTGCCCCACTTTTCTCCTCAGCCGAAACAGAACCTCATGAGGGAAAGAGGAAAGTGGAATCTCTGTGGCCTATCTTCAGGATTCACCACCAGAAAACCCGCTATATTTTTGACCTATTCTACAAGCGGAAAGCTATAAGCAGAGGTAATTAGCCAGTTTCTCTTGGTTTTCCAGCTAGAATACTTTTCATATGTAATTAATGGCTCTTATTCTTGCAACCTCAGCAAGTGGATTTTTCTTACTATGGTGGGGGTGGTGGGCAGAAATATTAGCTAAATGCTTTTTAATGATGGGCAGTGATGGGCTGAAGTGAGAGAAGCTTTAGTAACAGTGATCTGATGCCCTTTCTCTGTATTTTTGACAGAATTGTATGAATATTGTATTAAAGAAGGCTATGCAGATAAAAACCTGATTGCAAAATGGAAAAAGCAGGGGTATGAGAATTTATGCTGCCTGCGGTGCATTCAGACACGGGACACCAATTTTGGAACAAACTGCATTTGCCGAGTCCCCAAAAGCAAGCTGGAAGTGGTAATGTCTCCATCCCTGTGGTGTCTGATAGAGCTTGACATTACTTTCCGTTCAGAATTCTGTCCTGGTTGACGGGAAAGGACCTTCCATTATTTTGGTGGGCTAGAATATAGTTGTGCCATTGGGTGTCCTGCTGGCCTTCCTTCCTGGCAGTGAGCCCTTGGGAATCTGCAAAACATTTCGATAGTAATCACATTTTTAGATCTGGGGCCAGTCTCAGCTTCTCCTTTGGACACCTTAACCAAGTTTTTGCTTAAGAAATAGAGGTGATGATACTCAGCCCCCAAGGCAGCTAGGAGGATTACTTCAGGAAGGCTAGGCCTTCCCAAGTCTCCTTTTCTTTGCAGTGATACTTAGTTACCATTAGTGCATTTTTTTTCTGGTTTTCTTCTGTCGGTACATTCTGCTCATACTAGACTGAGCAGCTACAAAAATGAGGCTGTGCGTGCAGTAGCTAAGCTAGGGGCACTGGCCATTCCGGGATGGAGCTGCAGGAGGCAAAGAGCTAAGTTATTGGGATATTGGTTGTTAGTTGCCTTTGAGTGAGTGCACTAGCCTTTGGCTCAGCAGGGAAGACAAAGCAAGCCACCCTCCCTCCAGCGTGGCCACCTTTTCCCCACCTTCACACAGGTACGTTGACATAGTTCTAGTTACACTTTATTGAGCTTCAGTTCAGGATCAAGGACTTTTAACTTAGAAGGCAACTGTCTCCCTGCATGCCGGAGGACAGGCATGCAGAACGGTGGAAAGTATGGACAGGCTCGTTCCCTAAGAGAAGGCCCTCCTGGGTGCTGGTTTTCTGGTGGGAAAAGAAGGGGTAGCAGTGGCAGGAGTCCTCGGGATTCTGCAACATTTGGTCAGGCTGCCCCAGCCATATGTGGCCAGAACAAAGTCACTTTAGGTTTGATTTCACCATACTGTTTGCTTGCTCCTCCCAGAATGAAAAGGTAAAATAAAGACAAACCAGTGTCTGTGCCTGTCTGCCGGCAGAGCCCCCAGCCAGACGCTGGGCCACACCTTGTTCAGGGACAGAACTTCTATCATAGACATTCAAGTACACATCCTACTCCCTTTTCCCCCACCCCCAAGGCCTCCAGTCAGAGGTCACCCTAAGGCTCCGGCACTGAGCCCTGAGCAGTAGCAGATCCACTTCTAGCTCACTGCAAGACACATAATGTTCCCATAGCAGAGTGACCGTGATTCTCAGACCTTTCCCCCCGCTTTGCAAGTAATGTATGTTGAATCTACATAAATATAATGCAGTGTTACGTAGCTGTTCATCTTCATGAAGGAACCTAACCTTCCCCTCTATCCCCCCAATCCAGAACTGTCAGGGATTTCTGAGCGTGTCCTGTGGGGGAATGAACGACCTTTCTCAGACTGTAAGTCTGGCTGGCTGGCGCGGTGCAGGGTCTCGGCTGTCCTCTTTTGCAGGGCCGGATCATTGAGTGCACACACTGTGGCTGCCGAGGCTGTTCTGGTTGAGGCCCTCAGACTCTGACCCCTCTGCCCTGGACTTTGGACTTCGCAGAACTCTGCCACCCTCAGAGAAAGCAGCTTTTCTTGTGGAGCCAATATTGCCCCACGCCCACACTGGAGCGTGGCTTCTACATGTGAAGCACTTGGTGTTCTTTGCCTGTGATTTATAGAAATAAAACTTTGAAACCTCTTGGCCCCTGCTTTCGTTCTTTCACAGAGCAGCAGTCTGTGGGAGAGCAGCAGGTGCTTGAAACCAGATGTGTTGGAGCTAGATCCTGATGCCACCTCAGAGGTGCTGTGTGACCATGAGCTAAGTTCACTCATAAGCCGTGAGGATGACATCCTATCGGGCAAGGCTGGCCTGAAATGGTGGGCCAGAGCGTGAGCGAACTTGTCAGGCACCCTGGGCCCAGCATTTGTCTTCACACCAGGGTCGGCCAAATGCTGTAGCTCTTAACTCTTGAACTAGAGCTTTCTCTCAGGCCTGAGGCCACAACACATACATGTGTGTTTAACATGAAAGGGACTCCTGGAGTTCCTTCAAGGCATGTTGAGGGCCATGCACGTTATTCTACCCCTGCTGGAGGTCCCTGGGCCTCTGATCACCTGCCCCCAAGGCCTCCATCTGTGTCAGCCTCACTGATGGTGTCTTGGTCCTTGGGTTTGATCTTGAACTTCTGCCATGGGTGGGGGGTTTCCTCTGCTGGCATCACTTTCAGCCACTGCTTATAATAAGCACGGAAGCCATCAATCTTCTCCAAGTAGGTGTTTTTTCCTTTGTACTATAAAAGAAAAGGTATGGGGTTCAGGGATTCAGAGGAGCATTTGTCAGAATCACTGTATGCTACCTACAGTTAATCCCAAACGTGGCAGCTGTCTCAGGCCTCCAGAGCCAGTGGTTACAGGGCAGAGAGCTGTTTGGTATCTGAGTGGTTTACAGTAGAGAAAGTTGCTGTGCCATGGGGCAGGCCCAGACTCCTATCTGCTGCTGTTTCCAAATGCATACAGCTGTGCTCCCATACCCAGGTCACCCCAGCTCCCCAAGCTAGAACCACTGAGTCCCCAACTCTGCCTCCATAGCCTGCTGAGTGGCTCCCCCTCAGCACAGCCACCTCCCTGCTGACCATCTTGACAGGGCTGTAGCACGGCCTCTGAAGAGGTAAGAAGAAAAGGAGGAAGCTGGTAGCCAGGCAGATACCAAAAAGAAAGCTGGCAAAAGAATACACAGGAAAAAAACAGGTGAGAAGGGTTATCAGAGACAGACCGCTGCCAGACAATGAGGGGCTTGCTGCAAAAGATTTAACAATTCTATACTTGTATACCTAATGTAGCCTGAAAATACAGAAAACTCCAGTCACGGCAGACGTTCCCTGTCACAAGGCAGTGTGAATGCAAGGGCTGAATACCCAGGCTAGAGGCTCATGACGTGCAGCAGCTGCTGACTGTGCCTGGGGAAGACTCCCACAAAGACTGGTATCTGGGACACAACTGGACATAAGCCAGGCTCGAGGGTGCCGGCTCTGCCCTCTGCTCAGTACTCTGCTGCTGCCTCACGAATACTTACTTCGCTTTCTAGATGGCACTCTAGCATTGCACCCACAGAGCCACCCACGACCCCAGCTACCACCCTGTCCCCCACCTCGCTTTGTTCCTTCAGGGTTGTGCTCCCCCAGGCCAGCTGTTCAGGACCTTAGCACAGGCCAGCAGCAACCAAAACCCAGCCCTCAAAAGCCCGATCTCAGAACATCAGGCGGTGACCGTTAGAACATTGCATCCTCCCACCCGACTCAGGCGAATGAACAGCACGGGGAATCCAGGGCAGCAAGGCAAACAGTCTCTGCCTCGAAAGGCTTAGGAGTGCATGATGGGGAGGGCTGCTCCCAGTTGTAGGCCAGGAAACCTGAGACAGGAACTGCTTCCTCTGGGACAGGAAGGGAAGCAGTCAGCCACATGCCATGTAAGCTAAGGCACAGGGTGAGAAGGAGCTAGTTTCGTGAAAAGCAGGAGGAGCCTATTCAAGGCCGAGTGAATGAATACTGGCCGAGTGATGGAAGCCAGTGGGTCTACAGAAGCCAGCAAAGGGAAGATCCTGGTTCTCCAAGGAGTTGCCCTAAGGGAAGCCACTGGACAATTTAAAGCAACAAATGCCTGTCCCCAAGGCCAGAGTCAAGAGTGGGTGAAGCTGAGCATGCAGAGCTGGTGCCCATACCCGGTCAAAGGTGGGGGGGTACTGGGCTGCGAATTCCAGCTGGCGAATGATCACTTCGTTCACTGGGACTTGGTTTTGCCTCATGTCCTTCAAGATGTTGATGAGATAGACGTAGTCAAGCTTCTTGAGGGCTGCATTGATGAGGGTGCTATAGATGTGGACATTGGGGGTCATCTGGCACTTCTGGAACAACGTGGACATACAATCAGTGAGGTGACAGTGATCACAGTGGCATATCCAGCTTGGGCGGTGAAGCTGCCAGCCGGTCTGCTCTGCACATCAGCAGCCCGGGACAAGTGAGGCCGAACCTTGCACCAACAATGGCTGTACCCACCCCCCACAGGAAAGCACCAGCACCCTGCACTGTGGGTCTACCCCCACCCCCAGCGGAAGACCCTGCCCCATCAGTTCTTAGAAACTGGCAATAAATGATGAGACCACTGCTCTTGATTCTTGGCTGTTGGTGTACTGGCCCACTGAGAACACTGCACGTCCCACTCTGGTTATAGCCTCCAGACCTCCAGCAAGTTGAAGCCAAATCCTGTCCCCATCCCTAAAACTCACCCCATTGCTGCCACCTTCAAGATCATGTACCCCTTGGTCTCAATGCTCACTCCTACAGCAGCTGATGGGGGCCTGCTCTAGGCTTGTGATCACTGAAACTAGAGCAACCCCACTTTCCTTGCCTGTGAAAATGGTTTCCCGACTAGGTGGAAAAACAGGGCCATTGGGAGTGTCCCCACTCTACCCAACCAGCCTTCTTCCCAAGCACACCACATGCTCCTCGGCACCGTGGATGTCCTGCCCGGGCCTGGCCTGCTCACCTTCATGTCTGTAAGCAGCTGCAGACCGTCACCTGGCCTTTGGCACCCAATGGCCAGGTTACAGAATGTCTGCAGGTTGGGGACGATACCCCTTCTTGCCAGAACTGGCAGCAGCGCCTGTTGGGACAGATATATTTGGCATCACTGTCAGCTGTAGCCCCCCAGCCCTGGTGAAAGTCTTTGCTAGTGGAGAAGCCTGTCGCTGGATGCTAGAGAACCCAGAGATAGTCCTGAGGCTTCATCGCTCCCTCTGCAAGCCATACTGGGAGCTGGCCTCAGCTTGGCTTCAAGGCCCCTGTCTTAGCCTAGTTCTCAGGGCGCAGCTCCTAGAGTTCAGCTGTTCTGCAACTGCATCCTGACTTCCTGCCTGCAGTGTCCAACATGCTGTTCCTTCTCTTTGAACGTCCTTCATGTCCAGGCCCTTCCCCACTCCATGGTTAACCAGTCATCCCCACACTCAGGCCTTCCATGTCAGCCAAGCTCTAAGGGCCCTACGGGTTTGTGGCCCAGGGCAGGAGATACCCACAACACTGTGTGGAGTGCTGGCCAAGGGAGCCTGACGGCCAGAGAGCTAGCCCCCAGTCAGGAGCCAGAGCAGGGAAGCCCCTTACCTTTGCCCCCTCCAGATCACCCAGCTTGCTCTTCTTCCTCATCAGCGTGTTGAAGAATGTCACATCAGCCTCCACCTGGTGCGTGTCCAGGATGGTCAGCAGCGAAGATTCTGCGGCGCTCCCAGGTGCCACAACTTCAGCCAGCAGAGTGAGGGTTTTGATGTCAGGCTGCAACCCATCCTCTGCCATCTTGTCCAGAAAGCCCTCCAGGCCCCCCATTAAGGCCAGTCTGTCTGCTGGACTGGTCACAGTCCCAAAGGAAACTACAGCTGGGGAGACCGCCTCGACAGTCAGGAGGTTGACCTTCAGTCCCCAGGGAGGTGGCTCCAGGGCCACAGAGGTGAGGGCGCCCCTTTGGTCAGGCTCCACCTTGAATTCTGCCACAGGTGGGGCGTTGCTGGAAGCTCTGGCTTCCTGAGATTCTAGAGGTTCTTCAAATGCCAGAGAAGGTTGTAGAAACAGCTGCTTCTCCAGGGCCTCCACGTGCAACCTGGCTGCCAGACTATTGCCCACCCCAGCTGGGGCTCTCGTCCTGGCCTGCTGCACTCCTGGGGGCTGCAGCAGGACTGTCTCTTCCTTAGGCTTCAGCAGCAATGCTGAGGCCACCTCTGGGTCCCCTAGGCCACAGTCCCGAGCTGCTCCCAATAGCAGGTTGTAGCCATGCCGGCTTGGCTTCAGCCCTAGACTCAGCATCTTCCTCCACACCTGCCCGGGAGAGACAAGGCTCAGCTTTGTGCTCCCTTAGAGGAGCGTTGTGGGAGAGGCACTAAGAGTCAATGGCCAATCAACAAAAGAGTGGGTAAAGCCCCAGGCTCTGGACAACTATGAATCTTAAAAACATGGCAATTCTGGGAGACTTCAAAGAGGCTAGCTCACCCCAAAACTGTTCTTGCTGTTTTATCCATCTGGCCTCTCCCTGACTATCCCAGGGCTTCGTGCTGGACCTCAGCCCACCTTCCCTATATTGCCCTGGGAGGGGCAGCTAGAAAGGCTGGGTTTTGGAAGCATCTAGGTCATCTTAAGGATTGGGTTCAGCTGTACTTCCTGAGTGCCTACTTGCACCCCATGCCCCGCGCCTTCTCATACTTCCTTAACCGAGAAGCAGACATGGGTTGAACCCACTTAGGCAGGCAGACCCCCTCACTGGTTGTGGTTGAGACCCCCTTTCCTCAAAAACATGAGGTCATTTCACCCCTACAGTGCAGAGTCTTGTCCACTCTACACACTGCGGCTCTGACGGCCGGCAGGCAGAGGCAGGAGGGGCGGACCTGCAAGGCGTATCGGAAACCCGTCTTCTTGTCCTGGATGCAGCCCATGAGCAGGAAGCTGAAGGTCTCCTCTGTCACTGCATGCCCCCTGTGGACTATTTCCTGGGGGGAGAAACAAGATCTGGTTGAGAAGCTGCCTCCGAGCCCAGCCTGCCCTGGGGTCTAACTCGGAGAAGACACTCCCGGACAGGCCCCGGGCTGGGTCCTGAGGAGGCAGTGCTCACGCTGGCGCTGGGCTGGTGCACAGCCAGCTCCTGAGCAGTGCTGTCCAACTGCTACTACACTTCCTCCCAGGTCTCTCTTCCTGGTTCAGCTTCTCTACTGCTGTGCGGCCCCTGCAGAGACAGCCACGCAGCCACTTCAAGCCCCTGTAGCAGAGCTGGTTTCAAGGCCCAGCTTCACTGTTCACCTGCTCTGGGAGAGCGGACAAGGCAATAAGCGTCCCCATCAATGAAGGGGTCACAGGCAGGACGTACTCTATAGGGTCCTGGAATACCCCCAGGAGGTGGTGTGGTGCCAAACACAGAGCAAGGGCACTGGAGACCATGGGCCCTCTCTGGAGCACTGCAGGCTGGGGCTGCCATTGAGATGCCCCTTCCCTCAGTGCCACAGGGTCTCCTTGAGCCTGGGTTCCCAAGCCCCTTGCTGGCATGGGTGCTCCTCGCCCCACCACTGCCACCCTCCCACTTCCTCTTCAATAAGATTTATCGATGCTCTTTTCCTGGACAATCACAGCCATCTCTTAACTGATTCCTTTCGCCAGCCGCAAGAGTGACCCACCTAAACCACCAACTGACATCTTTGGACAATGCAGGCCACACTGCCCTCTTCTGCAGACTTCAGGTACTTGCCTTGAACGCTGCACCCCTCAAACCTTCTGGGCCCATAGGCCATGCACAGTGAGGTCTCAAGGCATGAGGCCCCACAACGCTGCCTCTTCAGCAGGACTGGCCAACACTGCCTGCACCATGCGGTGCCTGCACAGCCAGGTTCTCTCCTGGGACCGGCAGGAGGGACCTCCCTGTGTGGAGTGAGGAACAGCCCTGGCCTGGAGGAGGCGGACAGAGCGCAGGCAGGTCACTATGGCCAGAGCACTGGAGCAGAATGAGACGCATCTGTGAGAAGAGCAAGCTGCCAAGCTGCCAAGTGCATGCCAGGCCTGATGCTGCCCTGCTTCTCCTGAGGTGTGTGGGCACCGGGCCTTTGTTTAGGTGTTAACAGGAGTCTGCACTGCTGCTCTGCCGCCTGAGGATGCAGAACCACCACCCAGCCTGTGGTCCTTCTTGTTCTTGGGCTCCTCTGGAAATAAGCACCCTTCCCACAGGGCGGTGGCGGCAGAGGAAGACACAGGCACAAGCCCTAAGACACAGGGCCCTGCCAGCACCCCTCTGCCTCCCCTCGCCTGCTTCCCTTAAACCTGACACACCGACCAGAGTATTCCACAGCTCCCTGACAGCAGGCTTGCAGTCCCACTGCTCTTCCCAGCAGACCGCCCTCCTCAGTGAGTCATTTTTAGAAGTGCTTCTTTACAGCCATGTGGCCCACCTTCCTCCCTGGCACCGCGGAGGCCCCCCAGCACAGCCCATCACCCAGTCTGCAGACCTCGGCCTCTGAGAACAGGGTTTCAGTAGGTTCACCTGTGAAGCCGAGGGTCTGGCAGAGGGGTACCTCAGGCCCTTGAGCCTTCCTGCATAAGGGGCACAGACAGCTGCAGCCTCACACCTGCCACATGCAACTGGCCTCAAGTAGGGGGCAGGAAAGAAGGAGTGTTCCCACCTTGAAGACATCGAGGCACATCCTGAGGTCTGCGCACATGGCAGCCACCTTCAGCAGGGCGTGGTATGTTTTCAGGTTGAGCTGGAAGTTTCTCTCCCGGAGCTGCCACCGTAGTTTCAGGGCACTCTGCAGAGCAGAGTCCTTCCAGGGGGACTCAGCACAGACATTGAACAGGGCTGTGTATGTGGCATCTGAGGGCTCCAGGTCCCGCTTCTTCATCTGCGGAGAGGGGGAGACAACGGGAGCGGCTTCAGGACCAGCACAGCTGACACAGCTGTCCCTGGGCAAGCAGAGAGGACACGTCACTGCACAAACTGTTGTGGCGCAGGGCGTGTGCCAGGCAGAGCTGAGTGACGGGGTCTGGCTCTCCAACCCATCCCTCAGCCAGAGGCGCCAGCAGCTGGCCCCGAGCACCCGACCCGAGACCCTTCTCCTCGAGGCGCCCGTCAGTCCTGTGGGCCCAAGGTGCCTGCAGCGAGACCCTCCTGCAGTTGTCCCCGGTGGCCAAGGGGAGCACCCTGACTGCAAAGGGGCCGTTGCAGCGGCTCTGGTCTAGGAAAAGGCGTGAGGAGGCAATCAGATTAAAGCGCTTTGTGTCCCCTTGGGAAAAAGAAAAGGATACCACCACCCTGAAAGGCTGTTTCAAGGGTGAGGCGGGAGAGTGGCACCGCAGCATGTGAGTGGAGTGAGGATGAGGAGCGAGAAAGGAACATGACAAAGGAAGCAGCAGTAGAAAGGGAGGGGCCAGTGGCACCTGCCGAGGCCCAGGCTCCTGCTGGAGGCCTCTGCATGCCAGCGCACGTAATTCTCCATGACTGCCTCATTTTACAGATTATGCCTGAAGCCAGAGGTTTAGCCTGGGAAGAGGCTAAACCATCTGCCCAGAGTGAGGTACCAGCGCGTGCACCAGCTCTCTGGCCCCAGAGCTCCTGTTCTTTGGAGCCTCGTCCGCTCCCCAAGCGCCACTCACGTCGTTGTAGAGCCTGAAGGCCTTCTTCAGGTAGCCGGCCCGCCCGCAGCCCCCGATCAGCACTGTGTAGTTGCACTCCAAGGGCTGCAGCCGCTCCTCCTTCAGCATCTGCCTCTCAAACAGGTCCAGGGCCTCAGCAAGCTGGGCAGGGAGGAGAGAGGGAGTAATAAGGAAGTGCGTGGTTCAGGACAGCCTCAAGGGAGGGAGACTGAGGCTGAGGGGCCCTCCCTAAGTGTAAGACAAGGCCTGCGCAGAAGCCAAACACTCACCCTGGACTATGTCACCAGCTTCTTGGGCCTTGTGCTCTGCAGCTAAGGAGCTACATGGTGGTGAAGAAGGAAAGCCAACCAGACTCCCACAATGGTGGGCACCCTCAGCTCCACCCCCAGTCCTGCCTTCCCCTGGCCAGAGAATGGCCTCCTTGGGGGCAGGGATGTCTGCATCTCTGTGGAGACTCTCTGGAGTCAAGGCCTGGTAGTCACCAACTCTTAGAAATGTTAATTCTGTGAATCCTGGGATCCACCCTGCCCTTGCTTCCTGGGAGACGCCATTATAGTGCCAGCCACTGAGGCTGAGCTAGAGGAGTGACTGGGCTCTGACCAGATCACAGCTCAGAGCCTCTCGGGTGCAGGGACCATTCAGAGCCCCTCTGGGATGCTGCAAGCAGCCCTGGTGACCAGCTCCCTCTGGCTGCAAGCCCCCTAGCCCCCAGCTGTCTTTGCCCCATCCCTAACCCTAACCTTTAAATATTTTTTAAAAGATTTAATTTATTTATGCATAAAGGAACTGGGGTGAAGGTCAGAGATGCAGGGAGGTGAGAGGATTCACCAGAGACAGAGTGAGGAGCAGAACAGGCAGAACTACTGAAACACACTGCTGAGGGGAGCAGCGGGTGAGACAGGCGAGGTCTGATGCACAGTGTGGGTCGGCTCCCTGGCCAGGAATCGAACTCATGCTGCAGTGGTTACAGACAGTTCATAGTGAAGAAACTTAACCCTTTGTGCCCCCAGGGAGGTCCCCCTTTAAATCTTTGATTCATTCCTTCACACCTCAAGATTATTTTATTCATTCATTCAACCAATAATAAATGAATACTACTAAGAGGTAGGCAAAGTCTGGCTTGGGTATCCAACTGTGAACAGAAGAAACTCATCTTGGAGTTCATGAAGCTCACCTTCTACATGAAAAGACAGACACCAAATGAGACAACCAAGAATAGCATATCCTGTGCCAAATGGTGACAAGTGCTATGAACAGAAATAAAGCAGGAAGTGCCAGAAGGGTGTAGGTGATTCACTTTTGATAAAAGCCAAGTAGGGCTTCACCCAGATGGTGGCAAAGGAATAAAGATGAATAAAAACCTGGAAGTGAGAGAGCTGGAGCAGCACACAGCGGTGGGGGTGGCTGAAGCAGAGTAAATGAGGGAAGGGCAGTCGGTAGGGAGAGAAAGTGGGGGTTGGGCTTTATTAAGCATTGGGAAGACTTTGGCTTCTCTTGGATTTTCAACTTTGCAAATTTTTCAATTATGCAAAATTTCAAGTCTATACAAAAGGGAGAGAATATTAAAACTACAATTATCAGCATTTGGTCAATCTTATTTCATACCTCTCATTCCTCCTTCAAACTAAGTTCTTTAAAGCAAACTCTAGACTTCCTATAATTTCATTCATAAAATCCTTAATCCATACCTCAGATATTTAAAGATAAGTAGAATGTCATTATGGATTCCTGAGAAAGTGATCAATGTCACTGACTACATTAGGAATTCTGGAAAGAAGAGGAACATGACCTGTTTCCTGTTTTAGCAGGTGCATATGTCAGGCAAGAGAGTTGGGGAATCTAGAGACAAGTATCAGAACAGCTGAGGGAAGCAAGGAATTGGCAGGTCTGGGGTTCAGAAGTAGAGGCTGAGAAGTGTTAAGGTTGGCAAAATGTTGAAGTTAGAGCTGGTGAGACACGTTAGGAATGACCTGAACACCACTGGGCCTCAGTGGCGAGAATAATGGGGCTGTCATTTAGTGAAATGAAGAAAGTATAGGGAAAATAAGACTGGGAACAGAAACATTAGGCAAATATGGGTAAGTGTAAGGCCAGTGGTAAGGAGGTAGCTGGCAACAGAGATTGCGACCTCACAGGAAGGCAAGGTTGGAGATGTGAAAGTGGGAACGGCAGCGTGGAGAGGGCCCAAAGCCAGGAGGCTGGCAGGTCACCTGGCACAGCGCGAGGGCAAGAGAAGACAGAGGGTCCTGAGCATCGCGACAGTGGGAGATTGGGAAGTGCAACACTCAGCAGAAGCCAGGAGCAGGAGAAGACAAAGCCTCCCCTACCTTTCCTTCCTTGATCAGGTGTTTGCACTGAAAGAAGTACCAATAAGGAGTGTTTCTCTGGCCCCTCCAGGATTTGGGATCTAGTTCCTTTTGTTCATCTTCACCACTCTGTTCCCTGAGCCGTAAGTTATATAACTGGGCTGTTGATTTGCGGAACATTCTCCGGGAGGAGTATTTGTCAGAGAGCATCCCAAAGCTCTCCTCCTCTTCCTCTTCCTCCTGGCTGGCCTTGGGAGTGGGCTGGCTGGGGTCAGAGCTGAGGCTGCTAATGTTCTTCTGGCTCCCCAGACCAAAGGGCAGCCGAGAGAGGGATCTGCTGAAGGTTGCTGGCACTAGCTGAGCCAGTCCTGTGGCCCTCAGCCGTGGAGGCCCCTCACTGCCTCCTGCTCCCCACTTGGCTCTGCAAGGGTCAAGGCATCGCAGTGCTGACAGTCCCATGGGCTGGGGGCCACGGAAGAGCCAGGCAAGTCTCATAAGGTCCATCTCTGGTTTTCGTCTCCAGAACCTGGTAGAGGTTAGAAAAATAGTTAAGTCAACTTGGGTTGGCAACATAAAGCAGAAAGAACTCATGTTTACAAGCATGAACTCTGGTTAGAAAGACTAGGTTCAGGGCTCTCCCTGGTGCCGCAATGGGTTAAAGCACCACATTAAGAAGCTCTCAAAGCCACTGCAGCTCAAGTTCCATCCCCCCCCCATCCCCACCAATCCCCACATGGCGTGGCAGACCTCTCCTGACCAGTCCTCTGCTCCCCCTCACCAGTGTACTTTGTCAAGCTGCCTGTTCTGCTTCCCATTCTGTCTCTAGTGTATCCTCTCACCCACACCTCTAGCCTGTACCCCAGTTCTGTAAGCATAAATAAATAAATCTTTAAAAAAAAAAAAGACTAGGTTCAGATTTCAGCTCTGCTAAATAACCATGTCTTCCTGAATACTCACTATCCTGGCCTCTGCCTCACCTATAAACTGAGGTTATAATAACACCACCTACCCTGTAATAATAAATGAATGAGTTCTCAGATACAGCGTGCAACATAAAGCTGGTACTCAATAGACATAAGCTCTTGATATTTTCAAGTCATGACCTAAGAGAACTCACACTGAGATCGGGGCTGACACCTAGTCCTGGCCAAAGTTATGATAATGTTACCAGCCCATAACTTGACCTTCCCATGCCTCAAGGTCTTCAGTTGCAAGGTGAAGAGAATCCCCCTCCTATCACCAAGTTATTAAATGAGACATTTTTAGAATAATTCCTGGCATTTAACAGCTACTCAAAATTTAGTAGCTGCAATCATTTATCATGAGTATTTTGGGCCTCTGCACAGGGAAGCTAAGCTGAATATTTCTTTTCCGTAAAATTTGTGACTGTGTTAGTTATGCTGTTCAATACAGCAGCCACTGGTCACATGACTACTGAGCACTTAAAATGTGGCTAGTCTGAATGGAGGTGTGCTGCTGAGTACAAAATTTCAAAGATTTCAAAAATATTGTACAAAAAAATATACCAATACTTTGGATACCCATATTTTGGATTTTCTGACCCAAAGAAAATTTCATTTTTAAAACTTAATGTGGCTACTTGAAAATTAAAAACTACACATTTGCATTACATTTCTGTTGGGCCGTGCTAGGCTACAGACCTTGGTCTGCAAAGTCCTGGTCTTGAAACTCTAATAGAAATAGCAAAATAACCAGCATACATTTTAAGTTTTGGTGATGTTAGAAGGTGACAGTCGGGAAGATCTCAGAGGTGATGGCAGATTGAAGAGATTAACAACGAAGACCAGGTAGGGCCCAGCAGCACTGTGGTGGGTTTAGCAGGTCTAAACCCAGGTCCATGCTGGACTAGCCTTTCTTAGTTAGCACCTTTGTGAAATTCCAGCCCTGGCCTCTACCATTCCGTACCTGGTGATGCCTGTGACTCCAACAGGAGTTCAACGTGAGCACATGTCAAACTTTCAAGTAGCCACGTTAAATAAAGCATTTACATGCATTAGTTAAAATACACAGAATTACCAATAAGAAAACCCAACCCAATGATCTCCAAACAGGGATCAAAAACTTTTTAATGAAACTGCACTACGCTAGTCTAGATATGTATTACTGCACTAAGTGACAATTCCGTCACAAGTCAAAGCGAGGCTTTGACGTAACGCTACTCCCAGTCCTCCGAGGGAAAGAGATAACTTTCGCAGAGAGAATAAAGGTCAAAGTTTCTTCCAGCCCGCCCGAGCTCGTTAACCTGTGGGTTAGGATCCGCAGACGCTCCCCGAGACTCTCGCTCCGGGCCGAAGCGGAGCCCTCCGCTCGCCTCCAGAGACAGGGCTTTTTCACCGGACACTCGTTGCCCCACTGGCCAGTCCGCCCCCGGCCCCTGGACTCCAGTGCGAGTCAAACAAGAACTCGCGTCAGGAGCCCGACTCAGAGAACGTCCCCAGCCGATCGGACCCCATGTAGCCCCTACCCTGAGCCCCACATGGACGCGCTGTGCCCTGGGCTTTACTTCCCCGCCGCCCTCTCCGTTCGCGCACGCGCAGTCGCCTCGCGGCCGCCCTACCCGCGAGATTTTAGGTAACCAGCGGCCGCTGCTGGGCTTTCGGCAGGCGGCTAGTCGGGCCTAGCGGAACGACCCGGCCTCGGCGCTCGATTGGCACAGTCTGGACAGGCCACGAGCCGGCGCGGGCTGCGGGAGCTCCCGGCATCCCTCGGGTGGCGGCGGCGGCGGCGGCGGCGGCGGCGGCGAGGCCCGGGAAGAGGACCGTGTGCGGCGGAGCCCGCGGCGGGAGGAGGTGTGAAGGCGACCAGGGACTTGAGTGGGAGTCGGGCCGGTGGGCCGCCGCCGCCGCCATGCAGGAAATCATCGCCAGCGTGGACCACATCAAGTTCGACTTGGAGATCGCGGTGGAGCAGCAGCTCGGGGCGCAGCCGCTGCCCTTCCCCGGCATGGACAGTGAGCGAGGGCGACGCGGGGACCGGGGCGGGGGAGCGGACAGCCCGGACCTGGGGCACTACCCGGGCCCCGGACTCCTCCCGCTAGAGCCTGGGACCCTCCTGCTTGAACTCGAAACTCCCTCCTTCGGCCCCGGGAATTCCTCCTCCCACTCCGTCCCGGGACGCTTCTCTCTCCACCTCCACCTTCCTCCGAATCTTTCATCCTCTGGGACTTCTCGAAAGTAACTTAGGGAGGGCAGGACTATACTGGGTTGGTCCGCATGCTGGCTTGGAAATCCCGTCCTCAGCCGCCACCTTGCCACCGCCCCCCACCTACCTTCAACCCCCTCTTATTATATCAAAACTGGGCGGTTGGAGAAGCCTTGCCGAGAGTAGGACCTAACTTCCTCTCTGCAGGAGACCCCCAACGACACTTTTTCTCCTGTGACTAGCACTTCCCGGACCTCGCCCTCACTTTTTCTGTGGACCCCAACCCCAAATCATTCATCACACCCAGGCTGCTGCCCGAGCTCTCCCACGTGGTGACCCTAGCCCCCACCAATTCTCAGGGGATGCCTAACACTTTAAGGAGAACGAACAGGTTTCTTTCGGACACACTCGAAATCTAATGCTATCACGTGAAGACGCAGAGGGCTGAGTTCGTTCAACCCATGGGCACCTGGGCGAGGGAACACATTGCATTGGTGGCACTAGGTGAGCTCTCCAGTGCTCATGACTGCATTCATCCAGAGTCCTCATTCTTCTCATGCAGAGGACTGTGGCCTGTGGTGTCCCACTTGTAGCTGAGCTGGTAGAGCTTACTGCTCTCAGGTTACTGTGCTTCTCAGGCACAGTAACTCTAACTTGTCCCTCTCCTGCTGATATTCTGTGCAAAATAGGGCTTATATCTGAGAGACATAACAGCAAGAGCTGTTTTACACACGCATCACCTCCATCTCTCCATCGTTACCTCTGCTCATCTCTCACACAGGCCTTTTCCTGTGTTGATGGCACTAGCTCAAATTCACTAGCTCTTTACCTCCCTCCATACTCCAGCCCAGATACTTGGGCCTAGGAGGCAGGTGCAGTGGCGAGGACTCAGAAATCTTTTAGGGGTGGGCAAAGGACATGCCTGGCCATGGGCACTGCCCCAGTCTCAGACTTGGTAAGTGTTCTCAGAACTCACTGCTGCTCTTGATTGTTTTGAGTATGTTGAGGCCACAACCCTCCCTTATCACTGCATTTCATTCCTGTCTTAGTTTGGGGAAGAACTGTGGGTTCTACCCTGACATCCAGTCCGCAGGAATGTGGACTTCTCCCTTTAGAGAATGAAGCAGTCTTAATCTCTGAAAAGAATGCTCAGAAGTACTTCACTGGTACAGTTGTTAGTGTAGGCTTTAGACTTTTTGAAGTGCAAATGAGTGACACCCCTGTGACTTCCAGTTGTACAGTCTTAAGTCTGTCCTAGCAAAATCTACCTGGTTCCAAGAAGCCAGGGGGTCTTTTAGGTGTTATTGAGGAGAGGCACGTAAGTGGGCTGCTATAGGTGGTTCTTAAGCAATTATAAAATGTCTGCTGATAAAACCACTGACACTTGATTCTAGTAGCGATGGTGGGCAAATTCCTGGGCTCATATGGATAGCTTTTCCTGTTGGCATGAAGGGTTGTCTCAGTGCCATGAAGCTATTGGCAGCCACTGCAGCATGAGTTCAATCCCCAGCCAGGGAGCTGACCCACATGGGTCTTGCCTGCTGCTCCCCTCAGCAGTGCATTTTAGCCAGTCTGTCTCTCATCCCTGCACCTTTGGCTTGTACCCCAATTCTCATATGCATAAATAAATAAACCTTTAAAAATAAATAGAGCAGCTTGTTCCCCATGGAGCCCATTACTTCCACCACACTCACCTGAAGTGGCTGCATCTGCAGAAGGGAGAGCCTGTGCCCCTTTGACAGTTGTATGCTGTTTTATATACTCAGAGTAGTCCCGCTCCTGTGTCTTTGCTTATGCACTTCCCTCTGGAATAGCATTTCTGATCCACCTGCCCTTCTCTGCAGCCAGTCTTTAGGGTCCCCATTCCTTATCTGTGCTTCCTATGAGGTCACCCCTCCCTCTGCCTCAAGTGCCTGTGACTTAGCGCTCTGCAAGGTCTGAGCTGGGGGTAATTAACTTCTGTGCTGCAGTTTCCTCCCTCGCCTGCTGTTAACTCTTGCTTATAGGATGCTGACAAGCATCTTGCTTATAGGAGGCTCTGAGAAAGCACTGAGTAATGACTGGTCTCAATGCTTGTCTCATTTTGCAGGGAATGACTGGTAAGTAGCTTTTCTCTTGCTCAGTCAGCTTTGTGGTATTTTTGCCACTGTTTCTTGTAACCTAAACAGTTCATAAGGTAAAAACCAAAATAGTTTCCTCCTCCTATTTTCAGACATTGCCAGTTGGGTTGCAGTTCACCTAGTTTTGTCTGATGCCTCTCCTTTTCTCTCCTTTCTACAGAGTCGGGAGCTGCTGTCTGTGAATTCTTCTTGAAGGCTGCCTGTGGCAAAGGTAAGAGACTGCTGGCTCCCTGAAATTCCTTCTGGGTTGCCTTTCCACCACTCTGTCCACAGCAGACTTCTAGGCTCTTGGGTTTGCATTGCTTTGTGCACATTATCAGTGTTCCTAGATGAAACCATGGCTTGGAGGGGCTAGGAATGGGCCAGGAAGTTGAACGGATATTCTGTGTGAAACCTCAGAGGACTGAAGTTGGCTCTGGGTCTGCCTTCTTGTCTCATTTTCCCTGTAGCTGTGAGCTGACTTGTGACATGGACAGGTCACTAGCACTGAGGCATTCAGGAACTTTGTGAAGGTCTCAGTGAATGACTGGGACTGGCATCTGAAGCCAGGCTTTTCTGATTCTCTACATGGTCAGGAGGGGCTCCCTGTCCTCTGTAGCCTAAAAAAAAATGAGGTCTGTCTTGTGGAGTCTTGTTCACATTAAACCTGCCGTAAGAGCTAGACTCCTCAATAATTTGTAAGGAGAAATATCTCTGGCCATGTGTATAGGTCTGAGCATTTTTCTTCCTGTAGACAAATTTATTTGGAAATTAAATTTTCAGTAGAAGCTTGAATCCTTATCCATGGATCCTTATTTGTGGAATTAGCTTAGGGTTGATGATTTTGTCGAATTTTGGTTTTCTAACAGTTAGTTTACCACTGAAGCAATATAGCTTCCAGGTAGACAGGGGCCTCAGGCTCTGCCCCCCTAGGCTCCTGTCATACTTGGCTGTGACTCTGCCCTCCTGAGCTGCACCTTTTGTTTACATAGCTGTCCTGCGTCAGCTACTATTGTAGTCACGAACCACAAGTGGCGATTCAGATTTAAATTAAAATTAAATAAAATAGAAAATGCAGGGCATCCTGGTGGTGCAGAGGTTAAAGTCTTAGCACTTTCAGGCTATCAAGCTGTTATCAGCCACTATGGCCTGAGTTTGATCCCTTGCTGAAGAGCTGGACCCCTGGCCCAGCTGACCTCTCCTGACCCGCCTGCTGCTCCCCTCAGCAGTGTACTTCATTAGTCTGCCTATTCTGTTCCCACTCTGTCTCTGGTGAATCCTCTCACCTTCCACACCTCTGGCCTGTACCCCAGTTCTTTATGCATAAATAAATAAGTAAACCTTACAAAAATAATAGAAAATGCAGTTCCTCAAGCACTCTAGTCATGTTTCATGTGTTCGTATATAGCCACATGGGCTATATATGATGGCCCTAAGAGGTGCCATCTTAGCCAACACAGATGTGGAATGTTCTGTTGGACAGACCTGGTCTAGGTCTTTCCTGGTGACCACCTCATTCTGGTCAGGCCTTCCCTCTGACTGTCCAGGGTATGGCTCTTGTCACCTGGGTGGGTGACTGCTCAGGTCCTGCCACAGAAGGCAGACCCTCCCCTCCCCCATTTGTATACGGTGTATGTCTTCAAGTCAGGAGTTGATCTTTCCTAATTCTCAGAGCTTATTGATGGGGTCTGCCTGGAGTGCTGGCTACTGCTGACAGCCTTTCCGCTTTCTAGTTTTCCAGGCTGTGTTCCCCTACTTCTATAACTTTTGCCTTGTCTGTGTAACATTGAGACTAATCTTTAAGTAAATTAGGAGGTAATTTTTTCCCTTTCACCCTGACTTGTTAAGCCTCCATCTTAAAGTAATATCTGAAATCATGATTTACCGTTAAAATAAAATAAAAGACCTAACTACCGAAATGTCTACTCTTACCCTGCGAAAAGCACGCTGCCTTCTGTCGGGGCAGCCAGCACCTCACATTACTTGCTGCTTCCTGGAACTCCTGGAGGTTGTGGGGTCAAGTCACCCTCCTACAGGCCCAGTGCCTACACCCCTCTGTCTTTCTTGGTAGGGGGCATGTGCCCGTTTCGCCACATCAGCGGTGAGAAGACCGTTGTGTGCAAACACTGGCTGCGGGGGCTGTGCAAGAAGGGGGACCAGTGTGAGTTCCTGCACGAGTACGACATGACCAAGATGCCCGAGTGCTACTTCTATTCCAAATTTGGTAAGGTGCCGCCTCCCCCTGGGAAAGCTCCTCCAGGAATCAATACCTGGGAGCTAAGCAGCTACTCAGGTGCTTTCTTCCCATCATACTGGCTCCAGATGAGAAGTGTGGGCAGTGCCTGCCAACCTCAGCTGGCCCTTCAGTTCCAAGTGCTTGGGGAAATTGAAATGAGGGGGGTCTCGCTGTGTGAGTGAGCAGTGCAGTGGCTGGAGGCTTTCTCCCCTGAAGCAGCCTCCTCCAGCATAGCAGCTGATCACCCGTCAGCCCACAAGAATACAACCCAGGCTTCCAGCGTGCCACCCTCTCTCCCTCCTCTCCCTTCCCCCAGTGGTCAGCCCTGGAGCCAACCCTGGAGGGGGCAGTGGCTTCATCACTGAAGCCATCTCCCACCTCGCCCCAAAGGCAGGCACTATCCTCCTGGGTAGACACTCGGTGGTGCCTCTTCAGCTGGCTGGGGTTTCTGCCTTCCCAAATGGCCCTGGACTCTGCTGCTTCCGGTGCCTCTGATGCCCCCTACCTGTCCTGCCCCTGCAGAGCGTGCTCTGATGCAGATAAACTCTGCAGCTTTGTCACCTGTGCCACTGAGTCATCAGTGAGCTGAGTCATAGGTGAGGATGCCCCTCTAAACACTGGAGGGACCGCAGTGAAGTGGACAGGCCCAGTCCTTTTTGCTGTGGTGGCCTAGGGAAGAGGCAGCTGATACACCATTGAGACAAGTTAAGATTCATGCACAGTAGATTGGTGCTTTGAAGGAAATAAACGGTGATAGACCCATGAGCTAGAAGCTCCTTCAGGCAAAATGTCCAGGGGAGTCTTCCATAGATGGCAACAGCTGAGCTGGGATCTGAAGACCAAGCGGGTTGATCTTGGAATGGGAATGGCTGAGGCCAGCATGGAGGGACTTGGCATCTGGGGAATTGGCATCTTTTCTGACCAGCGGTTATCAGAGTGACCTTTTGTGTCTGACAAGGACTGGAGAGGGCACAGGGGTAGCACCTCTACCTGGTGCGCAGCTCCAGTAGTGGGGTCCTGGTGACCGAAGGGCCTATTGCTCCCAAGATCACTGGGTCCACCAGGAGGTTATAGGGTGAAGTCACCTGGCTCCTACAGGCCCAGTGCCTACACCCCGCCTTCCTTGGCAGGGGCATGTACCTATTTCGCCAGTCTTGAGCTCCTGGATCCCCCTGACTTTTGTCCAAAAGGGATCAGGCTCAGTCCTTTTCCCAGCCCAGCTCAATGTGAAGCGCTGGTGGGGTAGAACAGTAATTTCCTGGACTTAACTGGTTCCTTTGCACATCTGGGCCCCCCACAGTGCCCAGGATCATCCGTTGGGTGACGGTGGAGCAATGAGTGGTTGGATGTCCCCTGTGTCCAGCTCTATCAGTGTCTCTCGCACTCAAAGGCTGCGTGGACATGTGAGAGGGACCATTACAGCCACAAACAGGTCACGAGACGCTGAAGCTTTACCCTGGGTCTCAGGACTCCCTCTCTGCTCAGAGGGCGCCCGCCTCGGGACATGAAAGTGGGTGGGGCAGCTCTCTTGGAGGTGACGCATGTCTGTCCCCCTGCAGGGGAGTGCAGTAACAAGGAGTGCCCCTTCCTGCACATTGACCCCGAGTCCAAGATCAAGGACTGCCCTTGGTACGACCGCGGCTTCTGCAAGCACGGTAGGTGGCTGAGCCTCCTGGCAAGAGTCCAGTCCTCCCCCTGCTCACATGACCTGCCCCCTCCTGTGCCAATAGAACCTGGTACTGTGTGACTTGTGGATCATGAGGCTGTTTCGTGCCCTCTGCCCACTTGAGCCTCTCAAGGCTCACGTGTAGGCTGCTTTCTTGCCTGCGTTTTTTTTCTTCCAACTATTATTTATTTATTTAAATTTATTTATTTATGCACACAGAAATGGGGTACAAGCCAGAGGTGCAGGGGTGGTGAGAGGATTCACCAGACACAAGTAGGGAGCAGAACGAAGTACACTGCTGAGGGGAGCAGCGGGTGGGTCAGGAGAATTCTGCCGTGCCATGTGTGTCAGCTCCCTGGCCAGGGATCGAACTCACACTGAAGCAGCTGCGGCTAGCTTGCAGTGCTGCATCCTCACCCATTGCGCCACCGGGGAGGGCCCTCTTGTCTGCATTTTTGATAAGGAAACTTGCATTTGAATGAGAGCACAGTCTGGGCAGAGTTCTGAGGGCTGGTGCCTCCCGAAGAGGGGGTGACTGTCTGAGTGACCCAGTGCTCACCTCTCCAGGTCCCCTGTGCAGGCACCGGCACACGCGGAGAGTCATCTGCGTGAATTACCTCGTGGGATTCTGCCCAGAGGGGCCTTCGTGTAAATTCATGCAGTGAGTAGCCAGCCCCGTCTCGCGCCCTGCTGGTGACTGTGTGCTGTTAGCACAGAGCTTGGGGGCGGGGGGGCGGGGGGTTGCCTTGCGAGAGGAACCACTGTCCCTTCTGAGCCAGAGGTGGTTCTGCCTAGGCCAGTACCAGTACTCAACCCTCATTGGGTCAGGCCCATAGCCCTGAGGTGCAGGACTGCACACAGCCTTGCACCTCACTTAGGGACTTAGGCTCAGCCTGAGTCCTAGAAACGGCAGCTGCATTTTTGGGGTCTTCTGTGCGGAGGTGTGAACTTGGGCTTCCACATGCTCTGGTTTGTGTCATTGAGAGGTGGGAAAGAGGACGTCAGCCATGTCTGGGGCGTGGCAAGTGGTGCCACCTGGGCAGAGGTGGGTCTGGGGCTCTGGACCTGGTTCTTCTGGCTGGTTGGACTCCACGCTCCTCCCCTGCGCCTCAGCGCGTGTCTGTAATTTGGGTGGCTGTGGGTCAGGTTTCCGGTGAGGGCATTGCCTATGTGCCCGTCTCCCTGCTGCCTTTGCACTGCAGTGTCCTGTTCACTGCCTTGCTGCTGACTTGGACCCATGCCCAGATGCTGCCCAGGAGCACCTGTGAGGGTGGGCGTGTTCCCAGGTGCATTGTCAGAGGAGGTGCTGGCGGCAGGGTATGTGTTAGGAGGGGCTCCCCAGGAGCAGGCTTGGGCTTCTGGTGGACCAGTGGGCTCTTGGTGCATTCCCCTGCATAGGTAGGTCTGAGTAGAGTGGGGTCAGAGCCCAGGAGTGTCGCGTGTTCTCCCACCATCCGCCATCCCCCAGTCTCAGGCCCGGTGCTGAGGAGACCAGCGCCACCTCCCACCCCCGTGGAGTGTGTCTGGGCAGAAGCCAGCTGTGTTTTCCTTAGGGTGGGAATTTGAGAGCCCCACTCCTCTCTCATCTCTTCCTTTTCCCTTTTTCACGCCCTCTGGCTGCTGGCTGATCAGCCCTCGATTTGAACTGCCCATGGGAACCACCGAGCAGCCCCCACTGCCACAGCAGACGCAGCCTCCAACAAAGGTACCGTGTCCATGTCCCTGCCCAGCCCTGTGGTCCAGACGGCAGTGCTCTCGAGCGGGAACTCAGTGTCCGGCTGGGTGCAGTCTCCAGGAGACCCAGCTGGAGGCCTGTGCGAGGAGAGGATTCAGGGAGGGAGGTGGGGCGGCACAGCAGGAAGCTCTGGGATCGGAGCAGTTTGCCGATGGACACATGGAAAACCTGCTGGAGCTGGGTGCCACTTGGCACTCTTCCCTTCTTGCGGCAAGTGCCCCAGCAGCTCTGCGGAGCCCACCTGGGGAGGTGGGTGGAGGGCAGCATGGGCACTGTGTCCCTGCTGTTCTCGCTTCTGGTTCAGACCCCCCTTCTGACAACTGGGGAAGCGGGGACTCCGAGGTGCGACTGCTGGTCGGGTGCAGAGCTGGGAGCAGGGCCAGGTGATCGCTTCTCTGCCGCGGCGTCATCACTGTGGAGACTGCCCGCCACATGGATGGCCGCGGGGCCAGCTGCCCCAGTTTTCCAGACAAAGGGGTTCCACAAGCCAGTAATGGACTGATCTCATGCACGAGTGGAAATTTGAAGTAGTACCCCAAAAACCTAGGCTACCCTAGGTTGGTGTGTGAAGTGGGACCTGGGGGCCCAGAGGCAGGGCTGACCAGGTGTGCAACACCTGGTGTGCAGGGTCTGCAACAGGCTGAGTAAATGCACGGACCGGACTGAACAGTCCTGGTGGAACTCGAGCCGTGCCCAGGACTCCTCAGCACCAGAGGCTGAGTACTCAGGAGTGGGTGCAGCCACACCTGCGGCACTGGTCCCCATCCTCAGGAGGTTGTGGGCAATTCAGATAGAACCTGTCAGCACAGCCAGAAAGTCCTGAATGTGGGTGCTGCTGACAACCGGTGGTTTCTAGCTCAAGATTCCTGTGTTTATGGGGCCGGAGCCAGGAACCCACTTGGTTGGGAAGGTGGCCGCGCTGTCCAGGCCCCAGGAGCCCCTCCTGTCCCCTTTTCTCACTGACTCCCTAGTGGAGGGCCCTCCCAGCCCCCAGACGGCAGGTCAGCGTGTCAGCCTCCAACTGTTTTTCTGTGACTGTTGCTCGCCGTGTAGGCTGCTAGACATCTGGCTGAACCAAGCGTTCATCCTGACCTGAAGCTAGAACCTCAGAAACAAAAGTAAGGCCTGCTCATGCCCTCGCCCCGCTGCCCCAGAGACCTCCTCGTCTCTTTGGTGTTTTGTTTTCTACTTTCAGTTCTCGTTTTTGTGTGTCTGCATGGTGTTTTTCGGGCAGCGGCTCCTGCCATCATCACCAGATGTTTCTTTTCCACCTGCTCTCCTGAGCTGGGCCACCGCGGGAGCCCTTCTTCCTGCTGGCCATGCGGGAAAAATCCCGCTCTCTTTTTTCCTGTTCCCATTGGTAGTTCGCGTGCACGTGTTTTCTCAAGTAAAACCGTGTTGTGTAACTCTTTCCAGCAAAGTAACAATCCGCCATTACAAAGGTCGTCCTCCTTGATCCAGTTAACGAGTCAGAACTCTTCTCCCAATCAGCAGAGAGCCCCGCAGGTCATCGGGGTCATGCAGAGTCAAAATAGCAGTGCCGGCAACCGGGGACCCAGGCCGCTGGAGCAGGTCACCTGTTACAAGGTGAGTCTTGGGACTGGGGGACAAGGTGGGGCCTCCATAGTCAGTGGCCATTCATTCATTCCCCAGATACTTAGTTAATTTTGAAAAATGAAAACATCTTAGCGTTTGCTGGTAGTAAAAGCAGCTGCTCTGGTGGGCTAGAGGCCTTTCTGCTCCCGCCATGACACACCAAGACGAGGTGCACGTTAAAATACACTGGGTAGTGCACTGGCAGAAAAGCGAGAATAAAACTCCCAGAAGCTGGGCACCAGACTAATCCGGGGAGCCCTGAAGCGTCTGCATGTCCTCAGATCCTGTGCGGGCATACCCCAGGAGAGGGGGTGGAGCTTTGGGCCCAGAGTGGGAGAAACTGGATTAGGACAGCTCTCCACAGCATGTCCCCCGCCAACACCCACCTATCCTTTGTGCGCACACAATAAAAAGAGATGCTTCCGGAAAAGATCAGCGCTTTTAAAACCCACTAGAAGACTCATTCTTTCCTCTGACATAAAAAGGAAGAAAGTCCCTGAGAGTTATAGTGACTGGGGGCCCTTCTGTGGTCGTGAGCTTGTTCACCCGACACAGGCAGAAAAGACACAGACCGTGTCCCCAAACCTAAAGCACAGGTGGGTTGAGGAGGTGCTGAGGGATTTATTCTTAACCCGGTCCCACAGAATTCCCACAACCAGAGTTCCTTAAAAGTCACAGGATGTAGTCGGAATTCCGCAAGCTCACTGAGTGAGTCAGCAGGAGCCACCAGAAATAAAACCACTCACAGGACTCAGATTTGGAAATTACAAGGCAAAATTGGCACATGCTTTCTGTGAAACGTAGATGTATTTAGGGCACAAACGGAACTTGTTCCTTATTCCCGCCTTCCCTGGAACAGCTGCTTTATCCAGTATGTTCGCGCTCATACCTTGGTTTCAGTACCAATGGAAACTCCATAACTCCAGGAGACCTCACTTACTCTTTGTAACAGTCTGTGCTTTTTTTTTCCTTCTCCAATACATCCTGGTTTTCTGTCGATAATATGTTCATCTGATCTAGTTCAGCAACTACGTAACAACAGCCAGGTCTTTCCACTTCACTGCTGGTAGATACTTAGGGATGTGGCTTCTGGAAGTACCTCACTCTGGTCCAGGTGGCACTGACAGCCCCAGGCCTCCAAGTCAGAGGTCTTTGTTAAAGGACCACACTTGAAGTGCTCAGAGAACTTGCTGGGCACTTTCCACAGCTGTTGGGCACCACTGATGGAGAAAATAGACCTGCTGCTGCTCTTGCCCAGAGCGGTTTGTGACCTGAGTGGAGAGAAAGTCAGATGCCCGAGGACACTGGGTGATGGTGTACGTGGACTCAGGGAATGATTCTTAGAACTTTCTGAGCCTGAGCCTTAAAAGCTGAAGAAAAGGGACAGAGTTGAACAAAAAGGGGGCGGGGGGAGGGGTTTCCCTGGCTACAGAGCAGGCAGCTTCCACTTTTCAGGTATAGCAAGGAAACTGTCCTGAGGTGCCCCCTCTGGGAACCTGCGGAAGGAGGCTGGGGGACCTGACACCTTAATGCAGGCATTGCACAGTTCATCTTAAAGACGTCTTGTGGGAATACTGGGTTCCCCGGGGTCAACTGCAGAGGACGATGGACTTCGCCAAGTGCTGTGAATGGGCCTCGCAGTCCCTCCCTCTGGTCATCACATCAGGTGAAGCGCTGACTGGCAGCTACACAGGCTGGTTTCAGTACCAAATGAAACTCCAAAACTCCAGGGGACCCCACTCACTCTGTGTTAACAGTCTACTTTTTTTCCTTTTCCAATATATTGTGGTTTCCACAAGTCACATCTACGGAACGAGCAGATTTGAAAACATGGGGACAGCAGGGTGAGAGGAACAGAGTGAGCCAGAGTCTGGACAGGGACGCTGTTGAACCTCGCCTTCCAGGCCTAGGGAGCTGGGGCTGGGAGGCTCTAGGTGGGTTGGCACAAGAGTAGCTGCTACCACCCATCTCCTGAACCCTGTTTCAGCTCTCAAGGCTTGCTTCCTTTCCTAGGATTCTCTTCTGCTTTTTTGAGGGGTACAAGGATGAATGAGAAGCTGAGGAATGGCCTGAGCAGGCAGCTGGGACGAGTCAGGATTGGTGCTGTATTTGAGACCCTGTTCACTAAAGCCTGACTTGGCCCTCCTGACCTTGTGACCAAACCTGGACCCCAAGGGTAGCTTAGGCAGATGTGCAAGAGCCAGGAGGGAAAACCTGGTGCATCCCACCCCAGTGTTCACAATAGTGAACCCCCAAGCTGAGGGAGGAGCCTGGTGGCTTCTCTCGAGTTCCCTCCCCTGTCTTCAGGGATTCTCAGAAGTTGCCTCAGAGGTAAGTGACTAACCAGGCACAGAGGGGCTTCGCTCTGGGCAGGTGGGGGAACTCTGATGCCAGGGGCCTCTCTTTATCCTGCCACCCACTGTGAGGGTCCCTCCTCCTGTCCGAAGGAGCTCCCTGCCATGTTCTCTTAGTTTGTCGTCTGGCTGAGGTGTTCTCTTCCATCTACAGTTTCTGCACCACTGTACTTCTGGAACCTCCTTCCCCTCATTTGCAGAAAATCTACCACTGAGAGTTTCAGAGTCCCCATCCCCAACCTGGTATTTGGTGGGCGCTACATTGAAAATTGCATTTGAAAACTTTGTCTCCTTCCCTTCCTGTTTCCAGTGTGGTGAAAAAGGACACTACGCCAACAGATGCACCAAAGGGCACTTGGCCTTTCTCAGTGGACAGTGACAGCAGCTGGAGCCAGCTCAGAGCAGCCTGAGAGGCCTGTCATTGGGGACAACTGTGGGCCATCCTCAGGAACATGTGTTGAACTGTTCAGCACCAGTGTTGGTGCGACCTGGCTAGAGCTGGCACACAGGCACACTGGGGTTTATCATTCAAGGGCCTATTTCTGTCAGTTTCCCTACCATTTGCTGTAAATTTGTTATTTTTTTTTTTAAGGGACATGTGCTCCAGTTTGGTCCCTCGAGTCAGCATCATGTCTGTCTGGGCATCAGAGCCTCCTGTCTGGGACACCCCACACATCTGCCCTCTGGGGAGGAGAAGTGCGGGGGGGGGGGGGAGGCTTGTGCTCAGCAGTTCTGTAAGGAAGATGGTCGTTCCCCTCAGGGCTTCATTAAACACCAGTTCTTGGTGACCCCAGGGGCTGGTGGATCATTTAAAGCTGCAGCCAGCTCAGGCTCAAACTCCTCCATGTCCTGCTGAATTCAGAAGCTGTGCCTATCAATGTGATTTGACGAGGTCGCCCTCCAGGGCATACTCAAGTGCGCTTGTTGTCTCAGCCCGGCCCTGCTCCTAAGTGGCAGTGGCTGAGGAGGTGTGCAGGATTCTTGGTGTAGGGATTTTTGGGCTTATGTTCTGGGGGCACCTGCTTAACATTAAGGTATGCCTTACGCTGGAGCTGCAGGCCACCCTTTAAATCGTGACCCGGCCCTCCTGTGCACCTACCTCCTGCCCTAGCAAGAGTCTGTACTGTCACTCAGACACCTTTGGCCTATGGAGACCACCCTGCCCAAGCCTGGAAATGTGAAGCCGTCACCTGCAACACTGGGCAAGTGGTCTGTTCAATTACAAGAACAATTTTTATGAAGTTGATTAAAGCTTGTTTTTTAAATCATGTTTCATTACTTAAAGGACTGTGTGCCTAGAAGCCACCTGGCAGGGAGCCTTAATAACAAGAGGTCACTTGTTTCCACTCAACGAATGTGTACTTCAGAGGGAGTGGACACTGGCAGGTGTCACTCATATAGGATGTTGGGTGGGTCCTATGTGTTTAGATTTGGATCTTCTGAGGTAACTGATAACAGCACCCCACCCTGGGTACACACTACAGTGTGTGCTTGTCATGTCTCACTGAGAACCTGGTTTTGGCCTTGTCAGTTACAGAGGGTCCCCCAACTTGCAGTGTGAACAGAGACTGAAAGGCTGCAATGATGTTAGTGGGCTAGGTAAGTGTAAATGCATTTTTAACTTACGGTGGGTTTACTGAGGCCTAAGTTAGGGAAGGTCTTTACTCTTAAGACCTTTGAAGAAGGGTAAGGAAATAGTGCTGGATCCACAGGCAGCTGTGAGTCACCAGGGCCTCTGCTTTTCTCACCCCTGGTCATCTCACGGAGCTGTTCCCTGCAGATGCAGCTTCCAGGCCCTAGTGCCAGCTCTGCAGGATGCCATGTGCCACAGTAATATAGGAAAATGGAGTAAGGGGAGACAGTCTTAGGAATACAGCTACTTTCTGCAGTTTAAGCTGACAAGAATGCTCAAGACTCTCAAAGCAGCAAGGCGATGACTCTGGGCATGTCTGTCTAGATGACACCACCCCCTTAGGAGCCGGGGCACCCACCAAGGCCATGTGGTTCACACCCTGGACTGAGATCTGTCCTGCGGGGGCGGGGGGGCATCTCACCCCACCTTGTGCAGCAGTGAAGCAGTCCACAAACCAGTCATCTTTTATTGAGTTATTTCTCAGTTAAGCTAGGAAACGATTCAGGTGCCAGGCAAGGTCAGTCAGGAATGCAGAAGCCCACTTCAGTGATACTTGCGTCGCCGCTCGTGTTCTGGAGTTAGAAAGAAAACAGTAAGTCACTTCAATAAAAGCATAAGCTGTTGGGCAGGACAGCAGGCCCCAACCTCATAAAGCCCTCCTAGGGTCACTTTCAGAAGGTGACCCAAAACCTGCCAGCGGTCACATAATGGAATTTGGGGACATGAAGGCAGGAGCTAATTTGCCGCCTGGCCAGCTTGCCAGAACATCAGCGCAAACAAAATCCTGTCCTGCAGAGGCAGACACCACCTCCACCCCCAGCCATTTTTCCTTTGCCACAACTACGTGTAACATCCTATATACTATTGGATTTCGGGAAAAGCCAAGGCACATTTTTGCATAGAAAAAATACATTGTGACTTTAACAACAACCCAATATATTCTGTTAAGTCCTTCTAATTCTTCAGCTATCAGCAGAATGATAGACAAAGTGTTCCAAAGGGCTTCTTCTAGAAGCCCTCTCAAGGGAAACAATTCTCTTAAGAGTACTCACTGAGTTCCTTGTATGAGCGGCAGTAGTTGAAAAGCACGTAAGCGGCCAGCACCATGGAAACCCCCGCCACGCTCCCTTTCTTCACGTTGATGTACTTGTTATAGTACCGGTAGTAACCTGCAAACAGGGGCCCCCACCCAGCCTTGCTGTGAACACTTCATACAGTGCAGAGGAGAAGGTAAAGCCCCAGCCCAGCGCTGCTCTGCCTCTTTAGGTCACCCACTCGCCTTCACCATTTGGTAAGGGGACAGCGCAGATGTCCCTTCCTACACGGGCACCAGACAAGCCCGGCTGGACCCACCAGAATCTACCACCTCCAGCCAGCTTTAATCCTATAAACTTGGCTCAACTCGTCAACCTCTGATTTCACCTCACCTTCATCTGGATCAAATGACTGAGAAGCCAACCCCCAGTAAGGGCCATTTGGCCATGACCAGCGAGGTCAGCCTGGGCCTGAGGAAGAAGGCAAGCTTCTACATGTTCCTCTCTTCAACCCCCACCAGGGAGGAAATGGTCTCTGCCCTCTTAGGGCACGGTGTGGTAAGATGAAAGCAGGAGGCCACGGTCACAACAGTGAGGGAGGCCACAGAGGTGCAGTGCCTCGACCGGGAAAAGGCCACATTCACTGCTGCTGGGGACTCAGACTAAGTGGAGGAAAGACAGTATTCTAGTGCAGCTAACCTGAGGGCCAGAATGAGGAAAGGCCTCAGACCAGGAGGAAACGTGGCACACAGACAGACATAGGGGGCCAGGATCAGAAAGAAAAACACAGTGAAGGAGCCCCCAGAAAAGAGGGAGACTGCACAGCCCGGAGGGCTGACATGCTTTATGGAAAGACAGCATGAGTTCCTCAGGGCTGATCTAACCAGTCATGCACTTTTAAACACATAGAAATACAGTCTTTATCTTGGGAGTTTTCCCTGGCAGCAGGAAGATGAGTATTATAGACTGATGTCCACTATGCTTCAAACTGTTTTTGCAAGCAACAGAAACATCTTGGCTTCAACATCTCAGAGCCAGTCCTTGACAGGACAAATCAAACACCACAAATTCTTCACTGACCGAGTTAATACAGTAGACCCTCAGATCTGGAGGGCTGTTGTTGTTTACACACATACATACTCTCTGACCTCTTTGAAATGCTCCAGCAATGCCTTTTGGGGTGAAATCCCGCATCATTATCCAGCTTGGCAGCTCCCCTAATTTGACATCCAAGAGTCTTTTCTCTTTCAATGACACTGAAAAGGAAAAACAAACACATGCACTGAAAATCCTTCCAGTAACATAAATTGCGTCCTTCTATGCCCACTTAGGTTCAGTCATCCAGTAAGGGTCACTCAGTACCTTTACTACACAGAGGCCACAGAGTAGTATTATGAATAAATGTTAACCCAAACTCACAATTTTAAGCCAGAGTCTATATAATGGCAGAGTGGCTACAGTGACAACTTTATTAATGAACAGAATTTTGAGTAACAGCTTGCTGGGAATAACTGTCAAGTGAGAACCAAGAGTGATAAGGGTAAAATTAAGTGGGGTGGGGGGTAGGGGAGTGGGGAGAGAAGAAAGCTCACTGCAAAACTAATGTTACATACATTAAGTTCATTTAACCTTCACAGTGAGTTGATGATGCCCCCATTTTATCAAGGTTGGGGGCAAAGACTCAGAGAAGTTGGGTTAGTTGGCCCAGGTCACACAGAATGCAGGCAGTGGAGGCAGGACTCAATCTCAGGTCTGGCCTCCCGGCTCCTGAAGGCAATCGGAGGGCAAGTGCAGCCGAACCCTGGGGATCTACTGTGAAGAAAATGTAAGGGGGATGTGGAAGGAGACCAGTGTGATGTGACCAGAAATGTCTCTGATCTGATCAGGTCCACCTATTTTAACAGGTATCTTCTTCAGGGCAAGGAATCAAGGGCCACTGTCCCTTCTTAAAGATGACCAGCTACAGAATGAGCCAGGCTCAATCTTCTCCATCCTGGGACTCCAAAAAGACGAAGGCTCCTTAAGGACCAGCCTCAGAAGTTCATCAGGGAAGCCCACAAGCCTGATATCTCCCAGTTCTTAATAAGGGCAAAGGCTGATAGGCCATAACAGAAATGCAAGGTTTAATGACAGTTTCTCATCTGCCACAGATATAATCTAGAGAACCACACGCTTAGCCTTGACTGACCACATCACTGTGCCTGTCAAGAGTCAAAAGCAACAGCTGAGGTAAAAGCCTATGACTGGCGCACATGACTTTAAGGAAACTTAACCCAAATCCAACCTTCCAACTAAACTTACCCAACAAATATGGAGTGCCTACTGTAAGCTGGGCAGCAAACTAAGCGTTACTGAGGATACAGCACTATCCACAGATGAAAGCCTTGCTCTCAGAAACTAACGTCCTAGCTGGGAAGACAACCATCTCATATTGTCTATATTCTCAGGGCTCATCTCACACTTTAGCCAAACCACTTGTTTCTTATCTGCAACAATATTCTTTTCACCTGAGGGATTTGGCATTTGAGGTAATCCAGGATCCTCACAGGACTATCATCTTATTATATATTATATATACTAATATATATCATCATATATATTGAATGTCATCTAGTCAAAGGTCTTCTTCCCTGCCACCACTTTCTTCCTACATAAAATCTAAATTTCAGGGGGCCTCCCTGGTGGCACAAGGAGGTGAAGCACAGCACTATGAAGCTGATCCACAGCCACTGCAGCAAGAGTTCAATCCCTGGCCAGGGAGGTGACCCTCATGGTACAGCAGACCTCTCCTGTCTTGCTGGCTGCTCCTCAGCAGTGTATTTTGGTCAATCTGCCTGTCTGTTCCCCACTGTCTCTGGCGAATCATCTCACCATCCCCACCTCTGGCCTGCACCCCAGTTCCTGTATGCATTAAGTAAACAAATATTTTTTATATATAAATTTCAGTCCGTCTGTAAAACGGTTTACTCCAACGGTTGAAAGAGAATCTATATAAAAGCACTTCGAATGGTACCCAGAACACTGTAAACTGTTACTGTTAGTCTTAAAATCTCACTTAGGTCTACAGAAAGAAATGGCATATAAATTATGACGGGGCATTTTAAGCATAGAGGACTTCAGGAATTAATCACATTCCTTTACAAATGGAAAACCATGAAAAACTGACTAACTTGGTTATTTCCAAAATATGAGATTATCTCAAATGAGTTTCAGGATATATTCCAAACCTCTGTTGGAGAGTGAGTGTCAACGATACTAAGCTCAACAATACGTCATCTGAGAATGATCTAGTCCTTTCTGTCACCTTGGCTAATTTATTTCCTTAACACATTTCACATTCCAGTTTGTCTTCAATGGATCCTTCAGTCCCAACACTATGCCCTATTTCTTCCTGACTAAGAACAGTCAAGACCTTCCTATGCTCTCGAAGCCTCCCTGCATGAGGTGAGCGCAAACATGTCATTCTAAAACCAACCAGCCTTAAAAATGGCAACCTGGGTGGCCTCCCTGGTGGCGCAGCAGGTTAAAGCACTACACTGAGAAGCTAAAGCCACTTCAGCATGAGTTCGATTCCCGCCTGCCCCGGAGGTGACCACATGGTGCGGCAGACCTCTCCTGACCCGCCCGCTGCTCCCCTCAGCAGTGTACTTCCTCAGTCGGCCTGTTCTGCTCCCCACTCTGTCTCTGGTGAATCCTCTCGCCACCCCTGAGCCTCTGGCCTGTACCCCAGTTCTGTATGAATAAAAAAATCTTTAAAAAAAAAAAATGGCAACCTGCTGGGCAGTGGGTGATATAATTACAGATGGAACTAGAATGGCAGATGCTAACTGTTGACACCAGATAATTACTGCTAAGCATTTGTTAGATTAGCCTGTTTCCCTTTATTTAAAATATTTCCTAATATATTTTTACAATGCCCTTTAAGTCCGTACATTGGGGGAGATATATGGAAGAAAAAAGGATTTTACATCAAAGTATTTTTAACTGGCATAAGGCCAATGGTTCAAAAAACACCAGGTCATTTCTGGACCCAGTATTTTTTTCTCACATTTTCACTAACCATGAAAACAAATTCCGCATTCCTGTGACCATGTTCTGGGGCTGGCACAATGCCTTGGCACAACACAGGAGAAACAACCCAACAATTCAAAATTTTCTTTCTACATATTTCTATCTGTAACATGAAGATAAAAGTACTGCCTTACCCACAACAAAAATAAGCCCAACTTAAAATAGTTCAATTTAGGGTATTTTGACTTGTGAAAGTGCTACACACTGAGTAGAAACTACCTTACCAAACTCTCCTGCAGTGCTAGGACAGCAGCCTGAGCTCCCAGGTAGCATCTTCAACTGAAATTTTCAACTCACAATGGGTTTTTCAGGATGCAACCCCAAATAAATCAGGGGCGTCATCGCATTGTTTATTAATTACCTAGTAGTTTTAGGCTCTTATCACAGACACTATCTTTGGGGAGGCTGAATGACCCAGATGGGTAGGATGACCTTGCACAAAGATCAGAGTGAACTGGGGAGGACTCAACTGTGGGCCAGCATCTCACAGGCACTCAACTGGTTCTCCTCAGTGCTCAGGCGGCCACTACCACACTCCGCTTAAGTAAGATGCCAAGTCTCAATGCTCCCTTTCATGTCGTCTTGTTTAAATGACACACCCCCTGTGGATAGTCTCAAGCTCAGCCAGCAGAAATGGAAACGTGTCCCTCTCGTCTTTTCTGTTCCTCCCTTCATTTCTTCATGCTGCGAGTAAGAATAAACTAGGGTAAAAAGCACACTGGTTCATCAAAATCCGGTTATTATCTGTGACCTCAGACCGGCCACACCGCATCTCCGTCATTACTGCCTTCCATTTACAAGGGGACTTTGGAAAACACGCTTTCCATATTTAACCAATAGCAAGAAATGAGGGTGAGCTGTCCAGAGCTTTGCTGCCGAAGGTCATCCTCGCGATTACAGCTTGGCTTGCGGGGAGGCCCCGACAAGCAGCTCGGGGAACCACTCCTGTGACCTTGAATAGGTCATGTCACCTTCCTAAGCCTATTCAGCGCATATTCAAGACATTCGCGTCGACCCTTACGGTGTCGGGCGCGGCCCGAGGTATTAGCGCCTCTCGGACCTTCATCTGAGCTTCAGCTTTGAAGCTGCGCGAAGGGTTCAAGTGCACAGCATGTGGGTGGCGGCGGGGACAAGGGCGGGGAGTGGGAGGGTGGCCCGAGAAGGGGCATCCCCAAGCCGGAGGGACGTCGCCGGCTGCCTTCACCTCTACGCCGCGGCTGCAGGGCGAGCGAACGGGAAATGATCAGTGGTCGCAGGACCCCGGGGCGAGCGTCCGGGGCGCCTGAGGGGAGGCCGCGACAAAGGCCCGAGGGACGAGCGAGCGGCCTCGCAGCTGCCTCCTCTCCCAGTGCGCCCCGGGCCCCGGACCCAGGATCTCGGCTCCAGCCTCCAAACCCGGGGCCTCGGTGGAACCGGGAACTCACCGGCCGACGCCATCTTGGAGTCCTGGGTGTCCGCAGGGCCGGGCCGCGCGAGGGCTGCTGGGTAGGGAGTGACGTCCCCAGGGCGGGGGCTCACGGGAAGCAGGTCGCGTCGGGCGCGGGCCGTGGGGTGGGGCTACGTGTTGTCGTGTTGTGTGTCCCAACCACTGTGGGGCCGCAGCCAAAGTACCTGCTCGCTGGTCGTTTTCCTTTGCTGAATATTGAGAAGTGGTTAGCTCTCAGCTCCCCAGGCTGGGCAGTTCCAAATTTATGGTAGGTTCATCTCTGTTAATTGAGCCAAAGTGGCTCCTCACCATTCTTTTCAGTTACTTTCCAGCGACAGGCAAATCTAGTTCTTATTTTCATGTGGCTCCAGACTCACCCTCCTCCACCCAAGCACAGTAGTGCGGGCTTTTTGTTGTTGTTTTTTAACAGAGGAGAGGGTGATGACTCCTGTCGCCAGCTGAGCAGGACCTGCTTCCTCCCTAACGGCCTGAGGACCCCGAGGACCACCTCATTGCCTGGTTCCCTTGGAAGCTGCCCCTTCTGTTGCTGGGGCTGGGACCTCCCCTCAATCAAAGGTTGAAAGGAAGCCGATGAGGGAGAAGGGGGGGGTTGTTCCCTTTGGACCTTGAGCCAGAGTACAGAAGATCCAAAATCAAAAGTCAGAGATGGAAACATAGGTCCAAAATGAAGGCTGGAATAAGAAAACCATTCTCGGTCCCAAAGCTTTCCCACTGATGAGAAAACAGGAAAATATCAAAGGACCTCTCCACCTTTGGGTCCTCCCCACCTGTCCTCTCCCTGAACCCTGGGACCTCCCACAGAGATTGCATTCTGTACTACCTGCCCCCCTTATCCCTGATATCTTCATTTTATTTCAAAAAGTTTGTGAGCTTGGCCTTGCCCTGGTTCCACCCCAGGGTCCTAAAATGATCTCAAGGTCAGAGAATGTGAACAAGAATCTCCACTTCTGGATACTGGGATTTGGGGTCCAGAAAATGATGGAGCCAAAGGTTTTCCAGTCTGGAAAAAAAAAAAAAGATGTGAGGAAAGGTTCCCAAAATCCTTTCCAAGTCTAAATTTAGCAATACTCACAGGTATTTTGCAGAAGTCTTCAGAGTCAGAAGATCTTGGAACTTTAAGCTGAGACTAAGGGTAGGGCAGAGCCTGAGGAATAGCAGTACGGGTGGACTCTTGATTCTGCTAGCTAGGATGCTCAAGCCTGGGGGTCTTTGAACAACTTTCTTCTAGACAAACATGTCACAGGACCACACTTTGTGGAGAGCTTAAGCTCTCTCTTTCTGATCCTCCTCTCCTTCCCCCAGCACTTTTTCTCTTTAGTCTTTGCTTGCCTGTCTGTCACGCCCAGTGCTTATTTAAGGTTGCTGACCTCTACTCTAAGGAATTAAAGTCTACTGTAGAGTATCCAAGAGGATGTCTAGGAAACAAGACTGAAGGAAAGGGACTAACGGCCTTCACCAGTCAGGGACCGACAATGAAGAAGAGAACAGGAGCCTGGAAAAATGTTATTGGTCTTTATTGAAGTGGCAAAGTAGAGCTCACCACCAAGGAGCAGAGCCTGAGGACTTAAACACAGGGGCCAATGAAATGATTTCTCAGAGATGCAGGTCTCCAGGGGAAGCGAAAAGTAGTAGGTGATGCAGGTGCTCACAAGGTCTTCAGGAAGGCCTTGTATTTGGCCACAAAGGGGGTAGACAGAATATTCAGCTGTTGTCGAAGTTCCTTCAGAGTCATATCCTGCTCTTGCTGCTCCCCAGTCACCTGCTGCCTGTAGTAGTTGACATAGAAGTTCACCCAGTCCTGCGCTATGGTCTCCATGGCTTCTTCAGGGATTGGAGGATCAGGGAAGATCTGAGGGAAACAGGAGTTGGGCAAGGGAGGAGGTCAGCACCCTGATTCAGAAAGAACTCATAAACTCTCATGGCCTTTTCTCTGAGTCAGACTGTCTCTAATTGTTTGCATCCATTCCACCATCTCTCTCAGCTCCAAATTATTCTCCCAATTCCTCTCACCCACTCACCGACACTCCAGGTCTTTTTTAACTCTTTGAAAAAGAGTTTCTGAGCTTACCTGCTGCCCCAGCAGAGTATTAAATTCCTTAATTGCTTTGGAAATAAGATCCTTATTGTCCTGAAGAAGAGCCATGGCCTGATTAGAAAGACAGAATTTAATTATTCTTTTCCCTAATCACAGGGTATTTCTCCCCAGTACCCTCCCTCCCCTTGAGGATTCCTGGTGCTCTCCGGGCCACCTTCTTTCCAACACCTTTGAAACCCTGCCTTGCTCCAAGATCACATTCCTCCCAGTCAGGCTCACCTTAAAGTCCAGCAGCGCTGTGTGTGTTTCACCAGGACCTTGGCGGGATGTATTCCCCTGTCAGGCTAGATGTAAGCAAGGAGGCCAGTGTCTTCAGCCTAAGAGGGAAACACCCTGAATTTAGGTCTGAGAGAGGGTGATAGGTCAATCAGGGGAGGGGAAGAAGGGAGAGGCTTCTCTGAAGTTAGAGATATACCAAGGCCAAAAAACACAGATAAGTGGGAGATGCACGAAACCATACCAGGGACAGTTCATGACTCTCTGTCCCACATCCCAGCACCCAGGCTCCAAATGCTAACAAAACTCACGGTAACTGAGCTCCCATGACATGACAGGTGCCTTTAAGTCAACACAACATTGGGAGATGGCAATTATTCTCCCAATTCATAGATGCATATCAATAGTTTACATTTATCTCTTCTGTCAAACACTATTTCAAGCATGCATTAGGGTACTTGTCCTTATTTTTAAAAATCCTATTAGGTAGGTAACAATAGTGGCCACAGTCTGCTGATGAACCATTTGTAAGATGTGAGGACTGTACTCTATGCTCAAAAATGGAGACATAGGGCCTCCCTGGTGGTGCATGGGGTTAGAATGCAGCACTGTGAAGCTGTTCACAGCTCACTCCAACACCAGTTTGAACCCTTGCTGTGGGGGTGACCCACATGGCGTAGCAAACCTTTCCTGTCTGCTGCTCCCCTCAGCATTGTATTTCAGTAGATCTGCCTATTGTGTTCCCCATTCTGTTTCTGGTGAAGCCTCTCACTACCCCCTCCCCCACACCTCTGGGCCTGTATCCCAGTTCTTGTATGCATAAAGATTTATTTATTTATGCATTTATGCATTACAAGAATTGGGGTACAGACCAGACGTGTGGGAGGTTGAGAGGATTTGCCAGAGACAGAGCTGGGAACAGAACAGGTGAATTGACTGAAATACATTACTCAGGGGACTAGCAGGCAAGACAGGAAAGGTATACCACTCCATGTGGGTCACCTCCCAGGCTGTATTGAACTGGAGCTGCAGTGGCTGTGGATATCTTCACAGTGCTGTGCTTGAATACCTTGCACCACCAGGGAGGGCCCACATAATAAATCTTTACAAAAACAACAACAACAACAACAACAATGGGAACACAATGGTCTTATTCTCCACCATCATGGCTCTCAATAAGGCAGTTAACACTCCTTTCTTTCAATGTTGATACAATAGTTTCCTAGAGAGAAAGAATCAAGCCAGATGCTGTCTCTAGTGTGGAATATAAATAACCAAAGCAAAGGAATTAACAAAATCACAACAAAAATAACTCTTAGGGCCCTCCCTGGTGGTGCAGCGGGTTAAAGCACAGCACTAAGAATCTAAAGCTGCTTCCGCATGAGTTCAACTCCAGCCTGCCCCTGAGGTGACCACATGGTGTGGCAGACCTCTCCTGACCCGCCCGCTGCTCCCCTCAGCAGTGTACTTCGTTGATCTGCCTGTTCTGTTCCCCACTCTGTCTCTGGTGAAGCCTCTCACCCTCCGCATCTCTGGCCTGTACCCCAGTTCTGTATGCATAAATAAATAAATCTTAAGGGCCCTCCTTAGTGGCGCAGCGGGTTGAAGCACAGCACTAAGAAGCTAAAGTCACTTCCGCATGAGTTCGATCCCCGCCTGCCCGGAGGAGATCCATATGGCGGGCAGACCTCTCCTGACCTGCCCGCTGCTCCCCTCAGCAGTGTACTTCGTTGATCTTCCTGTTCTGCTCCCCACTCTGTCCCTGGTGAATCGTCTCACCCTCCACATCTCTGGCCTGTACCCCAGTTCTGCATGAATAAATAAATAAATCTTAAAAATAAATAAATAAATAAATAAATAAATCTTAAAAAAAAAATAACTCTTAGACTCTGGAAAAGGTGGTAGTTTCTAGAGGGAGGGAGGGTAGAAGGGCCAGTGTGATAGTGGGAAGGGCACAGGAGTTTTGTTGCAGGTGTCAAGCTGTGCTCCAGGAGGTTAGATAGTATTGTAAATCAGTGGCAAATCAATAAAATGTTATTTATAAAGAACTAGTTTCCTAATGTGTTCCCTTTTTAGTAAATGTGTTTCAAATTCCTGTCACTATGTATTAGTTGAAATAAATTAAGGAACACAAAATGTATACTGAAAAAATGGTTTATTTTTATTGCCTACTCCCACAAACCAACCTTAAAGATGTGTGGTCAGAAAGCAACATTTACCCATAAACACTCAGGAGTTTGTTAATTTGCTTTTTTGTTTATAGCATTTTCTCCCATTGTGTGTTAGGTACCAGGGATTAGTAGGGAGTAAAATAAGACCCCTGGCCTGGGAAGGCACCCCCTCCCCCCCGCACTCCTCCCCCCCTTCCCAAAGAGGGACACTCTCGCCCAAAGTCACACAGCTAAAACTTGTGCGCGTGCCCGTTGTGAACACATCAGTTCCTTTTTCTTTCACCCCCTAACTGGAAGCTGAGACCCTGCTACAGAATGCTACAAAGAACAAGGGCCAGGGCCAGCTCTGGGGCGCTGAGCGGGGTCTGGGGGTTGCGGGGAACGCTTCAGTTCCAGCGCTGAACCGAGGAGGGCGCAGAGGCCGGCGGTCCGTTCGCGAAGGAAGATTGCCCCTCCGCGGCCGCCGTAGCCGAGCCGGAAACGTCGTCTGACCACCTGTTGGTGCGGCGGGCGGAAGGCAGAATCCGCGATGGCTGACGCCGCGAGTTCCGCGGTCCCCCTGTGCTCGGAGCAGTTCGGCTCCGGGGCGGCTCGGAGCTGCCGCGCGGCGGCGGACGGCAGCCTGCTGTGGGAGGCCTGGGGGTGGCGCTGGTGGGGGTTCTGCGGGCCCTTCACACTGAAACCCGATAGGCGGCGGGGGTGCGCTCCCGGGACCGCCTCTCCACCCCTCTCGGGGCTCCTGGCCCTGTTCTTGCCGCAGGGCTTCCCCGATAGCGTCAGCCCGGACTATCTGCCCTACCAGCTGTGGGATTCCGTGCAGGTCAGCTGTGCCCACGGGGTAGGGGGCGGCCATAGGTCGGCGTGAGGGAGACCGTGCGGCCCGCCTCTCCGTCCCCGGTTACAGACTGTCCAGTGTGCACTGTGACACGTCACAGGTCACACACAAGAACCGACAGTAGAACTTAGCTCTCCGTGCTCCCGTGCCCTCTCCTTACCCCCACTTCTTTTCTTCTCCAGGCTTTTGCTTCCAGTCTGTCGGGCTCCCTGGCCACCCATGCAGTCTTGGTGGGCATAGGGGTGGGGAATGCAAAAGCCTCCGTTTCAGCTGCCACAGCCACCTGGCTTGTAAAAGGTGAGCCGGGCCCTGGCGCCTCACCTATCTGCTCTCAGCCCTGCTGTTCCTCTGGCCTCTTTTCCCTCCCACTGTGAAGTCCAACGCTTTCTGGTCTCCAGCTCTGGACTGGGACGCATGTATTTATGGACATGTGTGCCAAATGCCAAGTCTTCCTGGTACCTTTAGTGCCTTGTTTAAAAAAAAAAACCAGCCATGTAAATTTCAAAGATTTTATTGGCATTATACAGTGATTAATGATTCAGCAGGTCAAACAGAGCTCTGAGAAACTGTACAAGACATGACTTACAGGCAAAAAAGTGGACTGATTATTGCAAAGTTACTTTCCTCTAGGGGGTGGTAGGAGTCTACCAAGCAGATGAGCTAAATAGGGCCGACCAGGGTTTCCTGAGTTAGTCTCCCGTTTGTGGTGTGGGACTTAGCATAAGCAAGTCCATTTTGGGTCTGTAAGCCATCTTTTTTTTTTAGCAACTCAGGACATATCACCCACTGCCAGAATACCTTTGTCCTGTACACCTCGCAGCCACATTGTTTCTCATACACACTGTTCATAGAGCCTAGTCACCAGGAACTCAGGTCCCTAAGTTAACTGTGTCTTCCCTTCCCCCCTTCTCTCTTAGCTGCATAAGAGTGCAGTTACTGAGTAAAACTGTCAGCTGCCGAACAAGCAAAGATGCAGCTTGGTACCATGCCATCTAGAGAGTGATACAGAACAGGGAACTACCCCATATCCCACACCAGGAGGGTTCATAGCGCTTGTGGAAATTTAAATTAGACCCAAGGTAAGATCTTTTCTGTCTCTGGCATCAGCCTGACCACATCTCAGGTGAGCCTCCTGGATCTTCTGAGGTTCCTGCTTACACCTTCATCTGTAAGACTAAGCAAATTGGCCAGATGAGTCCATAGAAAGAAGCTCCCTCTCTTGATAGTCTGCATCAGCTGGGAAGTGGTGGAGAGCTGTGGCTCACGGTCCTGTTGTCTTAATAATAGTAACTCACAATAACATGCTTATTACATGCCAGTCTTTAAATCTACTGCATCAGTTTTCAAGCAGCAGAGATGGGTATTATCATTGTTCCAGTGTCATAGATGAGGAAACTGAGATACCCAGAGTAATTTGCCCAAGACCACAGGAAGTGGCAGCACATGGGTTCAGACTGACCTAAGAGGTTCAGTTCCAGAGTACATCTTCATATCACCACATTGTGCTTAACTTGAGCCTTCTGTTGCTCTTATTAGCTAACTGTTTGGAATGCACTAGGAGCTTGGGTCAGTGGTCGATGTTTTCATGTCATTTCTCAGTACCCCTAGCCTTATGTTGCCTAGGTATGTCTTCAACTCATGTAGGTTGTTAAGAAAGAAAATAAGACCATTTTAAAATATGGGGGGGGAATCTACCATTTTAGAACCCATTGATAATAAAGAAGTCCTTGTAATTAGAAAGGATTTTACAAACTTCCATCAAACATGGGGATTTTCTATTGTGCTTTGTATAAGAAGCCCCTTGGAACTTTTTAATACGGCCATTTTCAGCTACAGCTCTCTTCATGGAACATAATATAAGTCATCATAACCAATAGAACCACTCAGCCCATATTTACAGCCTGCGCTATATCAGGCATTTCACACACTTGCATGTAACATGTATCCTAATCTCTGTGACAGTCATACTATGTAGTGAACATTATTTATTAAAACACTTTTCAGAAGGGAAGCTGAAACCTAGAGACGTTTCGTTCCTTGTCTAAGATCACTTACGTAAGGCCAGTATTTGCACTCAGGGTGACTGACTCCTGTGACCCACTCTTTAACTACCACATTCTTTCCAGTTAGAATTTTAGAATAGAACTAAATACAATTTGTAGACAGCTGGTTCCTTATTAGGACTCAAAAAATGTCTACATCTTATAGCAGCTCACTGTAGGTGAGGCAAGCAAGAGCAGGTAGGAATTACATTTTCCAGTCTAGTGAACAGTGTGACTTTCAAGTGATAGAGAAGGTTGATGGCATTATTGTATCCTAGGGCCAACCCATAGACTCTGACAAGGACGCTGATGACAGACAGCAGGTCCCCCGCTTCCAAGTGTTCCTGGTGTGTAGGACAAACCCCTCATTGGATGTGAATGTGCCGTGGATGTGGCGGCAAAAGTAGTTTTGTCATGTCGATCCAATACAAGAATCTTCAATGGAACGATGAAAATTTTATGTAGAATAAAATACACTCAAAGGGAGGAGGCCTATAAAGCCACCTTAGTATTATTTCCAGGGACATTCAGGGGACAGAGATGGAGATGTGGAGCAGACCAGATGGGACATGTTATGTGCAGGGGCCTCCTCAGAGTGAATCGCAGTTGCTAAGCTTTGCTGACTGGCGGTAAGAGAAGGCGGGCACAGGTTGCCATGGTTCTTCGAGAAAAGCAGGGAATCCAAATTTGCTTAGGAAATGTCCCATTTCTGTTCACCAAATCCAGCTTCATTTGTTTCTGTGAAAGGGAATGATCCCTTTCTATCCTCAGGAGTCTGTGAGAGACAGACACAGTTCAGGTTCCACAGAGGCTTAGCAGTCTTGGTCAGGTCCAGGGTTGGGGAAAGACGTCTGATTAGAAGACTGCAGTGCCCCAGGGTGGCAGCTGTGGCATGGGGCGAGTGCCTCTTTTTTCAGTGGAGAATAGGGAAAGCTGGTCAGTGTCACTGCCTCTTTGTTTCAGGGGAAACCCCCAGTGTGCCTTCCCTCACACTTTGTCCCTTCTTGCCTTCTCCACTTGAGGGTCCAAGCCCTCAAGCGCAAACAGGTTGAGAGCCCTCTGTCCACTGGATGAGGCCTTCTCAGCTGCTGGGTTCTCAGACAGACCTTTGTGAGCCCCCTGCTAGATTTGCTGAGAACTCCTCTCAGCTTACAAGGTGTAGTCTGATAAGCTGGTCAAGGCCCAGATGGCAAATACTTTGCACTTGCAGGCTGTGCAGGTTCAGCCCCAGCCACTGCATTCTGGCACTGTGATGACAACAGTCACAGTCTAAGTAAGTGGGTGCAGCACTGTGCTGATGAAACTTTCTTTGCACAAACCGGGGCAGTCCACAGACCACAGGTCAATTATCTAAAGTGGTGTTTTCACTTTGAGTGCTGTCTGCTTTTACACTGGATTTGAAGCCTGTGACAGCCACGTGCTTCACACCATGCCAGGCCTGTAGTAGATGGCTCATTAGCCCCTGTCTAGTGGGAGGGGCTCTGACTGTCCCGGCTGGAGAGGCCTCTCCCTGTGTCACGTGCCCCCAGCTCTCTGTCCCCAACATGCAGGTCACATCTTTCTTTCTTATTTATACTCTCATGGCCACCGGTGAGCCCACTGCCCAATCTAAGAGCTAGAAAATCAGCAGCCAAAGTTTTAAACAATAGTTGTAATATTTACTATTGTATATTGGGTTTTCAGAAAGTCATGACACATTTTTGCAACAAAAACAAAATACATCATGACTTCTCTGACAGCTCAATACAGTGCATCATATTTATATGTGTAAATGCAGTGTTTAGTTTGGGCGTTTCCAGAGCTGTATGAGAAGTTTATTGTGCTGTGCACAGCTTTGTGCTGACTTCTCATGCGAGACCTCAGGCTCATCGTGTCAAGTGCGCATGCCTGCTGCACTGGGTTGGCGCCGCTGCCCCACGGCTACTGACTGACTGTCCCCAGATTTCTGTCGGCATTTTCCTGGTGATGAGCTTTTGCATTATTCCCAGCTTTTTGTTTTATTTTGTTTGTTGTGAACTGGGCTACAAAGAGTACTTCTGGCTGTGTGGCCTGATGTGCACAAATACACAGTTCTTTCTGAGAAACTGCTAAGATGGGCCCTTCCGACTGCCTGGCCCAGCTGCTCCTACCCAGAGCTGGTCCGCTTGAGCCCCCAAGAGCAGGGGCCAAGGCAAACGAGGCATTTCAGAGCCAGGGTGGACCAGCTCCCATCCCTCCCAGCCCCTCCTTGTTCCTCACCAGTGCCTCTCTCCCCCAGATTCAACTGGCATGCTGGGCCGCATCGTCTTTGCCTGGTGGAAGGGGTGAGTTTGCTTTTCTGATTAGTGGACTTCTGGCCACTCTTCCCAGACTGGCTGCATGTTCAGCTCCCACTCCAACTAGTTTGCAGAGGAAACTAGTTGGGAAAGTTGAGTCTTTAGTGAGTACCCCATCCAGGTAACCTGCCCAGGACTACCTTGCGGGGAAATCACAGCCATGGCAAGGACTGAATGTGTGTTCAAGAACATACACTCTGCTGCCCGTCACAGAAAAACCCAGAGAGCTCGTGGGCTCTCAGTGTCCTCTGTCTGCTCCAGGAAGCAGTGCTTAACCCAAAAAGGAAAGACTAGCTTGTACTCAGAGGCTGCTGTGGTGGCTCAGACATTTGGGTGGACTTTGCTGTGTGAGTGGGGAGAGGGCTGTGGACATGTCACCAGGCATCAGGATCCCTGTGCCACATGGGTATGTTGTTGCCATTGATCTAGAAGGGATTAAGGATCTTGCCTGCCAGCTTCCTCCTCATGTCAGTATTGGGCAACCTAGCACTGACTTAGGGGTGGCTTAGCATCTACTGTTGGTTGTGGTTGCAAGGTACAGTCGGTGGTTTGCACAAAGTGTGTTGCGTGGCATGTAGTAAGTGCTCAGTGAACGCTGGCTGCTATTAGCAGTTCTAACAGTGACTTGCACACACTCTGCTTCATCTCAGTGTAACTTTGCAGGGTAGGATGGAATGAGTTCACTTGACCTATGTGAGGTAGACGTAAAAGGGAAGTCTCTCACCCTCTCCCGAGATCACCTTGTAACTAGTGAGACGAGACGTAAGCTTGAAGTCTCTTCTTTCTGTGGTGTCAGGCAGCCTTACTCGGCGGAGCCCTAGACCAAATGCCTGTGCCATAGATTCCCTCGGGTGCTCCCCATATGTGTCCCATACCCCACACGGGAATGTTCCTTCTCTCTCCAAGACTTTCAAATGAAGGGTCAGGGCTGTGGGCTACCACTAGGATGTTGGAGAAGTCACCCTCAGATATTTGTGTGTGGGCCAGAGGGGCCCTCTGTGATCACCCTCGGTATTGTATACCAGAAATATCCTAGGCCTAGATGTCAGACCTGGCTCCTCCTCTTGACCTGTTCCCCATATAATTAAGGGGCACCCTACCCCTTCTCTGAGCTCGTGATCTGCATAACACAGGGTTATACTGCATGTAGCACATTCTAGTCCAAAACCAAAAGGTGACTTCTTGCTGGGTTCCCTCAGTAAAGCAGGAGCAAGAGGAGGGAAGAGGAGCCAGGATAGCCTCTCTGACAGGAGGCCAGAGGGTGGGGGCAGCCATAGGACAACCTTTTCCCTTGCTGTGTTCCTCGGGGGAACACTGAGTCACCCCTGAAGGTCCTCCCATGACTGGTGGCCTTTCAGGCAGCAGTGAGAAGGTGTTAGGACAGGCATCAGGCTGGGGTGGGTTTTCTTGAGCCCTTGAGATTTACCAGGAAGCAAGATGCCCCGCCCAGCCCACAGGATGCATTCTCTCCCTGAATCCAAATTGCAAAACTAGTTCTCCTCCCCAACAGGAGCAAACTGGACTGCAATGCCAAGCAGTGGAGGTGAGAACTGGCACAGAGGGGAGGGGAGTCCTCTGTTGGGAAGGTCTCTGACCTCTGACCTCTAACCTCTAACCTCTGATTCCTCCTCCCAGGCTTTTTGCTGACATCCTCAATGATGCAGCCATGTTCCTGGAGATTATTGCTCCCATATACCCGATCTGTTTCACCATGACTGTCTGCGCCAGCAACTTGGCCAAGGTACCCACCTCTGGGCACCCCCACATCCCTGCATCTGCTTTGGTGGTGCTATGTGTGGACACACACTTGGGGTCCATAGGTAAGCCCAACCTGGCCCTGGATTCCAGGCCCTTCTAGAAGAGGAAAAGAAGTTCAGATGTTTCTCTTCACACCCAATCATATTTCCTGATGCTTCTTCAGCCAGACAGTCTTTAGTGCCGTAGATAATCTAAATCAGCATATGGAGGCACAAGATGTGGGGGAGCCCTGAGCCAAGGGATAAAGGGGTGTCCAATGTCAGCATCTTGGAGCCAGCTTCCTAGCTGGATGCCTTTCATTCTCAATAAAAAAAACACTTACTGAGTGCCTGCTGCATGTTTGGCTCAGAAACAGGCCTTCCCAACTTTGAAAGTAAGCTACCCATAGTTAACATGTATAGAATTAGAGCTCCAGGTATCCCAGATGAGAAGTGTTGGGAATGGCAAGAGGAATCTTCTGGGAATCTGAACTGGTCAGGAGCTAGGTCCTAAAGGGTGAGTGTTAAGTTAAAGGTGGGATGTTCTGGGCAGGAAGGACCATGTGGGTCAAGGTCCAGGAGCAAGAAAGTAGAGACCGCAGGGTGAGGCTGGCGTGCGGACTTGCCCTGCACACCCCTGCCCTGCCTCCCAGCTCCTCCAGGTTAGCCTTGTCCAGAGGAGGAAACTGAGCAGAGCTTAGCCTGCCTTCACTTGGACAGAGGAAAGACTCTCCAGAAGACACATAAAATCCATCCACAGGCCCACGGGAATCACTTTAGTGCCCTGTTTCTCCACGGGCCTCATATTTGAATGTGATGCAGTTCTCTGTGGTGAAGGACCTTCAGCTCCCCTGGCCCAGGCAATGATGGTGTGAACCCTGCTGACTGCCCCCATTTGTCTCCTGCCAGGGCCGGAAACCCCACAAAGAACCACCACTTAGTGGTTATGGACCAAGGATTATGACCTCTGTGTATTTGCACTACACTCTTTGGGGCTGTCTCTTCACCTGTCAAATAAGGGCATAGAACAGGGACGTGAGTTCTCCCAACCTCCTCTAGAGTACTAGTCTCAATGACCAGCATCTCTGTCCCTACGTACATCAACCAAGGCTGACATTCTTGCCTTCTCCTCCCCCCATGTCACTGTCAGCTCTGTTATTTCCCTCCTACACCTCTCCAACCCACTCCTTCCTGTCTCTGTGTCACCTGGGCTTCCTTGTTGCTGAAAAAATGACCTAGGTCACTTCCTAGTCATGTCCTGCCTGCTTTTCCCCCCTCTTCAGCCCGTCTCAGAGCAGCCCAGTCTCTCGAGAGCAGAAATCAAATCAGGCCACTTCCCTGCCCCTGTTGCTCTTAGGATAAAAACTGTAACAAGACCTGTGAGGTTCCAGGGGTTCTTGAGATTCGATCCAGCCTCATTTTGTCCCTCTTATTTTTTTTTTAAATCTATTTATTTATGCATACAAGAATTGGGGTACAGGCCAGAGGTGCAGGGGGTGAGAGAATTCTCCAGAGTCAGAGTGGGGAGCAGAACAGTCTTTCTGAAATGCACTGCTGTGGGGAGCAGCAGGCGAGACAGGAGAGGTCTGCCACACCATGTGGGTCAGCTCCTTGGTGGGGGATCAAACTCCTGCTGCAGTGGCTGCAGACAGCTTCATAGTGCTGCCCTATAACTCCTTGTACCACCAAGGAGGCCCCCGTTTTACTTTGAACAGCAGTTTTCTCTATGTCATTACTCCTTTATTTGCTTATCATGCATTAACTCAGAGGCTTCATGATGGCAGGGTTGTATCTGAACTATACCACAGCACCACAGTCTGTGTCTGGCTTCTAAAAGAGATGCACGTTTCCTGGAGCGTGAGGTCACCAGTTCATGTTTAAACTAAAAGTCTGGCTAGGCCTGGCCTGTGGAAGAGTGGTTAGTCACAGGCAGGCAGAATGTAGGTGTAAAGTCGGAAACAGCTGAGCAGCAGGAGGGTGCAGCCAAAGTAAAAGCCGGAAGGAGGGACGTTCTGGCCCGAGAATAGTCTTTGGGCCTCCACCTCTGGGAAGGAAATAGTTTCCTTAGCGCCAGGTCCACATGTGGTATGGCAGGCAGGACTTTGTTCTCTCCTAGAAGTGGACAAGGAAGGTGATTTAGGGGAAATGCAGGGTGAGAATCAGATACCAAGAACAGCATTCAGGGCTTTGCTGTGGGGTTGCCTGAGGCCGCAGGTGTTCACAGCTCGGCTTTCCTGCAGAAGCACCTGTGTCACCACAGCAGATGGCCTCTCTGACCTTCACTCTGCCTTTCCACCCAGTGTATTGTGAGCGTGGCTGGCGGGGCGACTCGGGCTGCGCTGACCATGCATCAGGCCCGGAGAAACAACATGGCCGACGTGTCTGCCAAGGATAGCAGCCAGGTGAGCAGCTGGTATGGAAGGGGCCGGGTCCCAGGACTTAATGTGGGAGTATGGAGCGGCCCCTGGTACTCCTCAGGTGGGGGAGGGCGGGAGATGCAGGAAGGTGTGCAGATACTGCCAGCTCCGACTCCCAGGACAGGGAGTCAGGTGTAAGGGCAGGGACCCCGCGGCCAGCGAGTCCTAGCTGATCGCCTCTCCCCGCCTGCTGCCGGTGTAGCTGAGTGAACCCGGGCACCAGGCCCGGCCCTTCCCCGCTCTGCCCTGGGAAGTGGCTGTTCTGAGCACAGGAGGCCCCACGTGTGAGAGCACTTGGCAAACTAAACGTGCTCCCCAGGTGCGGTGGCAGGGTCGCAGGCCAGAGACCTCTCAGCAGTTTAGCAGGCCCTTCCGGCCCTTTCTCACGAGCCAAAGATAAAAAATGTACTGGGCACCCTTTCAGCAGAGGGAGCCCTGGAAGGCTGTGAGGCAGGGAGGAAGGTGATGGAAAGCCCCAAGGATAATTCAGTCTGGCCAAGAGGGGAGCCCTCACCTCCCACACCCTCTGCCGTTTTCCAGGAGACGCTGGTTAACCTGGCCGGGCTCCTGGTCAGTCTCTTGATGCTCCCCCTGGTGTCAGATAGCCCTAGGTAAGCCAGGGAAGGGTGGGACAGGCCAGCTGGGCCAACGCCCCCATGGTCACTCTTCTCTCCTAAGTTTCAGCCTCGGATGTTTCTTCCTTCTCACTGCCCTCCACATCTATGCCAACTACCGGGCAGTGCGAGCCCTCGTCATGGAGACCCTGAATGAAAGGCGGCTCAGGCTGGTCCTGAAGCACTTCCTTCACACTGGGGAGGTGCTTGGCCCCACTCCAGCCAATCAGATGGAACCGCTGTGGACAGGTGACCAACCCCCTGGCCTCAAGTACTAGATCGTCCCATCTCTTTCCCTTCCTGCATTTCCTGACTTCAGCTTCCCACAGGTTTCTGGCCGTCTCTGTCTCTCTCCCTGGGGGTCCCCTTACACCGCTTAGTCTCCAGGTGAGTGGCCAGTGTCTCCCACCCATTACTACTGCCACCCCCAAACCCCACACTTGCTTCTTCTGGTTGCATACTAGCCTCCCCTTCCTCAGCCCCGCCTCCCTGGTCTAGGTTCTTTCTAGGTTCTTTAGTTCCACTGAGCAGACACAGGGGTCAGCTCGAAGGCAGCAGGGTGTGTAACAGAGAGTAGATTTAAGGGATTTGTTGGGTGGAAGAAGAATGGATGGGCACAGTGGATGACTGGGCACAGGGAGAAAGGTGGGATGGATGTGGGGTACAGGGGTAATGGCTGAGGGAGGGATGGGAAGTTGGTGAAAGGCCTGCTAAACTACTGAGTGGAGGCCTCCAGCCAGTGACCCAGTGAAGTATGGGTAGTGATGGTCCTTTTTTTAATTTATGCGAACAAGAACTGGGGTACAGGCCAGAGTTGTGGGGATGTGAGAGGATTCACCAGAGACAGTGGGGAGCAGAACAGGCAGATCCACTGAAATACACTGCTGAGGGGAGCCGCGGGCAAGACGGGAGAGGTCTGCTGCGCCATGTGGGTCAGCTCCCTGGCCGGGGATTGAACTTGTGCTGCAGTGGCTGCAGACAGCTTCATAGTGCTGCGCTTTAATCCTTTGCACCACCAGGGAGGCCCTGGGTGTGTGGTTACAGGTGTCTGCTCAGTTGCCTGGATGGCTACTCCTGCCTTTGCTTTCTCCCCCTCTCCACTCTGCTCTTTCCTGCAGTGTCACTGAGCTGCAGCAGCTGGCTAAGGGGCACCAAGAACCCTACCTCCTCCAGTGGGACCTGTCGCGAAGTAAGTGCCCACATTTGCCCAGCTCCAAGCCCCTCCTGGGTCAGGCTATTGTTTTTCCAGCTCCGGGTAGCCAAGCCCGAGACACATGGAGGCTGCCTGGTGTTCTCAAAGGAGTTCTAGACTAAGACCTGAGGTTTGCAAGTCAGCTGTGTGCCCTAATGAAACCCATCAACCCTCTGTAAAATGGACTCACTTTTCTCTCCATCAGAGATAAAGTTTTTGAGGAAACAAGAACTAGAGTTTACTGGTCTGCTGGCCATGTGTTAAAAGGTGCTTATTCTCACTAGCCATTTAAGATCGAAAAATAACTGCCCCCCCGCCCCCCCCCGACGTGCTGTGATGCTGTATTTGGAAACTGGGAATTTCACTTTAGCCAGACCTTTGGAAAGCAACAGGAGACGAAGGGTGAGAGGTGGCCCTCTGTGCCAGACTCTGTCCCTGGGGGCAGATAGAAAGCCACTAGCAGTGGAAGGAATGTGGCAGGCTTGAGGGTATTGGGCGAGGCGATCCTTCCGGGATACAGTCTGTCCCTGTGTCTCTCCAGACCAGGTCCAGGTAGTTCTGAGCCAAATGGCAGGCCCTGAGGCCATCCTAAGGGCTGCTACCCATGGGCTGGTACTCAGAGCCCTGCAGGAAGATGGGCCTCTCCCTGGAGAGCTGGAAGAGCTGAGGAAACAAGTGCGGGCAGGTAAGAGCCTCACAATCTATACCGCTGATGGTTTCAGGGGCTGGGGGAGGACGGATTAGAGAGAGGAGGGACTCTGGGCTTTAGAACTAGGGGGCTGCTTTTTATTTATGTATTTATTTATTTAAGATTAATTTATTTATGCACACAAGAACTAGGGTACAGGCCAGAGGTGCAGGCGGTGAGAGGATTCACCAGAGACAGAATGGAGAGCAGAACAGGTGGATCCACTGAAATACACTGCTGAGGGGAGCAGCAGATGAGCCAGGAGCGGTCACCTCCTGGGATCATCTCCTTGGCCAGGGATCGAACTCTTGCTGCAGTAGCTGTAGATAGTTTCAGAGTGCTGCTCTTAAACCCTTGTGCCACCAGGGAGGCCCTGGAGAGCTTCTGGTTTTGTACCCACCCCCAGGTCCTGAGAAATTCACATGGGTCATCGTACGGGAGATGCACCAAGTGCTGGACAAGCTGTTCCCCAAATTCTTGAAAGGTAACGTCCTTCAGGTGCTTGGCCTATGGGGCCTTCTCCCCAGAGGCCCTGCTTACCCCCTTCCCTCCTCCCATCTCCACCAAGAGGTAAAAGACCCGAACTTTCTGAACTCTCTTCAGTCTGGGCCTTATTCCCTCTCTGTAGGATGGGCAGGTTAGGGTGGTCTCTGAGGCTGTGTCATTGCTGAGAGTCTGTAATCCCAGTTGGCACTGAAGAACTGAGGGCGTGGGGTGGAAGGCTCACAAAGCGCTGATGATGTGCTTTGATTGAGCAGCTGTTCCATTCCAGCCCTTCCCTGTATGCTGTCTCCATGAGCTCTTGCTACAGCCAGATGAGGCCTTAGCCTTATTTCACGCCAGACATCTCCCAGCAGAGGCCAGGGCAGCCAAAGCGATGCACAGAGCCTGCACACCTCCCCACCCCCCACCCCCTGCCGTGCCTCACTCCTCCCAGGGTCCACCCAGAGTCTCCTCCCAGCAGTCCTGGCGCACCCCCATGCCTCTCCCCAGGACTGCAGGATGCAGGCTGGAAGACTGAGAAGCACCAGCTCGAGGTGGACGAGTGGAGGGCCACATGGCTCCTGTCTCCAGAGAAGAAGGTCTTATGAGCAGCTCCCAGGACAGGCGACCGAGCAAAGACACTCTGACCTTGGCAGGACGTGGAAAGGCAGCTTTATTTTTGCTTAGGGGCATTGCTGTAGCAGGCTGACCATGGCTTTTTGGGAAGTGAGTACCAGTCAGATGAACTGAGCCCCAGGCAGGGACAAGGTAGAAAAGGGGGAACCAGGGCCCCCCCTCTGCTGTCCACACCCTCTCACCACTGCAGGCTCTGCACCCCCCCTCCACACACACACACACACACACACACATTGTGGCTTAGCCCAGCCCTGACTGTGGACCATGAGGTCCAGCGAAGTTGGCTTCAAGCGTAAAAACCCCAGAGGAACGTGGCCACAGCCATCATAAGCAAGGCGTTGAGGTTGACCACACGGGCCCAGCTTGGGTCTTCCCTGATGTCCTCCAGCTGCCGGGTTGCATCAGCCACCTCCTCCTGGGTAGGGGGTGGGGGGCTGCCTGCCCCACCCTTGCTCATTCCACAGAACCAGAGCAGGCACTGGCGCAACAGGCCTGGTGTAGGGGGCTGGGGCTCTAGCGAAAATTGAGGCTCTGCAGTTAGTTGAGGGAGCCTGTCTCCCCAGATCCCCAGCCCCCATCCTCGGGCAGTGCCTTACCCTCGATCTCCACTGCTTGCTCCGGGCGCCCATTCTGTACCGGGACTGAGGTTGGACTGCTCAGCTCATCAGCATCCAGGTCCTCCCGCTCCTCCTTGCTGTGCCGGAGACTGAAAACCAGGCGGTGGAGCTGGGGAGGGTGGGAGCAGGGGCCAAGTAGGAGTTCTGTCCCCCAGCCCAGATGCCGAGGTGTCTGTCCACACTGGCACTCCCTGAATTCGCCTTGCCCAGCCTGCACGTGCAGCCCAGGTTCAGCTCACTGAAACCCCACCATCCAGGGCCGCCCTTGGCCTCAGGCCAAAGCCCAGTTCCCCAGCTGGGTGTTTTCAAACTCGGCCCTGCGCCCCGCTGCCCTCCACCCAAGTCCCCTTCTACAATGACGACTGTACTTGTCAGACCTGCCTGTGGGGGTCTGCGTACTTTCCTGCTGCCTTTCCCCATGTCTCCACTGTGGACTGCCTCCCATCCTTCCCCGCCCGGCTCTCCTGCCCTGATCCCACTGACCCCACGGCACTTGCCACTCGCTGCAGCTTGCAAGTCTTAGTAGTACCCTGTTGCTCTCAGTTGCCAGCCATTTCCTGTGTTTTGAGCCCAGTGGCCAGATCAGGGATTGGGGAGTGATTGCTTAGTCACCTCCCCCCAATCTTCATCAAGCCACTTTTTGGCCAGACAACCCCAAATAAATGTCATTTAAATAAAAACATTGTGCTTGCTTTGTAAATGCAACTTCAAACTGGACTCCCGGCCTGGCCTCACCAGCCTCCCTAAAGAAATGGTGGTCCTTCCCCCTGCCCGCGCCAGGAAGCCGACTGGGGACTGACAGTGGACATCCTTGGGCCACAGCATGTGGTGCTTGCCTGGTGCCCATCTGGAGGCCCTCACTTACATGCTTGCGGGGGATGGGCTCCGTGCACAGTGAGATGAGGAGGATGAGGAGGCCAGAGCAGACGAAGAGCACTATGGCAAAGTAGAGGTAGTGCACGCCGCAGAGGAGGGCCGGGCAGGATGAGGGCCGCACACAGCTGCCCGAGCCAAAGGAGAACTCGGGAATGAGGCGGGCCAGACCCATCAGCAGGCCCCCAATCAGGCCCCAGAAGGCGCCCTGTGTGTGGGGGCGGGGCGAGGTGAGAGAACACGCGTCCCCTGCCAAGTCCGAGCCCTGCCCCCAGTGCTCCGCGGGCCTCGCCTCACCCACCTTCTCGTTGACGCGAGGCACGAACAGCGCTAGCACGAAGACGGCGGACACCGGCGGCGCCAGGTAGCTGGAGACGGCCTGGATATAGTCAAAGAGCTGCCCGCCCTGCGCCGCCTGCACCACCGGGAGCCAGGCCACCGACACGGCCACGATGAACACCACCCAAAGCCTGCGGCGAGCGGCCATGAGGACTTTCGCCGGGGGCTCCCCCTGAGCCTACAGTGGCGCCAGCCCCCAGCCGGGCTGGGGACGGTGGGAGCCCCCGGCGCACCGTCCGACTAGCAGCAGCTCCCGGTCGCCCGCGCGGGGCCGCAGGCGCGTGTAGATGTCCATGGTGAAAAGCGTGCTGCTGCTGTTAAAGATGGACGCCAGCGAGGACATGAGTGCGGCCAGCATGACCGCCAGCATGAGTCCGCGCAGACCTGCGGGTCGACCCGAGCCGTGAGTGCGGGGCCGCCAGGGTGCCCCCAGAGCGGGCAGGCGTGTCACCCAGAGGCGGTCTCCGCAGCGTGCCGGCCCGTGGAGAGGGGGCAACCCGGGTACCCGCCCTCACCATTGGGCATGAGCTTCACGACCAGCCGCGGGTAGGCGATGTTTGAGCAGCCCACCTCGGTCCCACACACGCGCCTACACACCTCGGGCACCACACAGGCCACCTCATCTGCGGAAAGGAGGGAACGACACGGCTGGGGCTAGGGCGGGACGTGGTCTGGGGACTGGGATGCCTGACGCGGGGACTGGGAATGAGCGAAGGAGAGATGGGACCCTGGGCGGGCAGCCGGGACTGGGTTCCCAGCCCGCAGGACAGTCAGAAAGGGGCTGCATGGGTGCCGGGCTCTCGGTCGGCGAGGATGCGGACATTACCCGGGTACAGAACGCGGCTGATCATGCCCGGCATGACCATGAGGAACATGGGCATCAGCTTCAAGTAGCCGCACAGGATGCAGCCCGCCTTGATGTGGGTCAGGTTCTTTCCTGCCAGGCAACGCTGCACTATGACCTGCGAGAGGGGCGTTCAGCTACCTGCGTGCAGCCAGGTACCCCTTTCGCAGGCCTGGCGTCCACTCTCGGCTCTAATTCAGCGCATGCCTCTAGCTCAGCAGGGCCCGCGGTGCGCGCAGTTGCAGGCGCCGCCGCTGGTGGGATCTCGCAGCCTCTGATTTAGCTCCACCCCCGGCGGTCCCGCCCCTCAGGCCACGCCTTCGGCCTCAGCGCCCCAAGTGGGTTCAGGAACTTTAGCTCCGCACCTCCACCCCGCCACCCCGCGTTTACATTTCGGCCCTGCTTGGCTCCAGCGGCCGCTTTGACCCTGCACCTGGTCGCTGCACCAGTACCAGCCCGAGACGATGGTGAGCCCCACGAGCAGCGCGGGCCACGGCAGGTCCCCCGTCACTGGGTCCCGGAGCAGATGGTAGGAGTCGGGTCGGGGTCGATAGCAGGCGCTGGAGATGTTGCCGACGGCCGGATCCTCAGACACAGTCAGCGACGTCACTGCCCCCAAGTATTTGTCGAAAAGTCCCGAATACCCGCCCACCGCGTGGAAGGCTGCGAGGGTAAGGCCGTCAGGGCACCGGGCTCCCGCGCCAAGACGCGCCCCAGGACTCACATGTGAAGACGATTGACATCCCTGCTCCCAGGCTGAGAACACCACCTGACTTCTGAGCCCTCCCCCCCAGTCCTGCCCCATACCGTAGCCCATGAGGATGAAGGCTCCCCCGAGAATGACGAAGGTCTGCACGGTGTCCGTGTACATCAGCGCCGCCAAGCCTCCTGCAACGGGGCCTGGGTGAGCGGAGCCCTCTACTATGTACCGGGTCTTTCTGTGTATTTGCAAAGGGTGCCCGAGAAGTCTCCTTCCGGGAGAATGAATTTCAAGTGGTGACCCATCCGCTTGGCTTAAGGATTCCCACGGGTCAGCCTTAAGGATTGGCTTAAGGTCAGCAGGCAGGGCTTGGTGAGAGTGGCTGGCTGAATTTTAGTCTCCAATGATGCCCCCATCCCAGCCTCCCACTGCAGCACCCCCTGCCTGGGCTCCCATTTTCTCTTCTACCTTGACTATCCAACAGGGGGTGGATCTCTAACATCCTTGTCTCAGTTCCATCGGACAATCGCACCCCAGGGGTCCCGCCCTCAGCCTGCCATGGCATCACTCCTGCCTACTCTGGTTCTCCTCCTGGCCTGGGGATCCTCCAGTTGCACCAGATCTGGTGGAAAATGCTAGAGACTGGCTAAGGCCGCCCTCCCCTCTCAGGAGATTAGAGCAGCTATGTCTCTTTGCACACATTCAATATGTGCTCACTGCTATGAACTTCCAGGTCCCGGGGAACCTGGGGAGAGAGGCCTGCCTCCTGGTGCCCCAGGTCATGAGCCCGGAGGATGAACCATTCTTTTGAAATCTGTTCTCCAGGTAGGGGCACCTTTCTCAGATTCATGCAGATGCTGTATGTACTGGGTTGCTTTCCAAAGATCTGTGTCTTTCTCCAGCTTAAGCCACATCACACCAGAACTTCCCCACCTTGCCTTCCTGTGGTGACACCCCCCCACGCCCCGGCCCCATAGCCCATCTCCATCTCCCTTCCCTACGGTCCTGGCACTGGTCACCTGTCACAGTGTAGACCATGGTGATGGCTAGCAGTGCGATGACAGAGGCATAGATGTTCCAGCCCAGAGCTTGCTGAATGAACACCGCCCCAGAGAACATGTCGACCTGGGGGAAAGTAGCAACACACAGGTCAAGACCCTGGAGTCCAGGCCTCCTCCTGTCCTGACTATGACCCTAGTGCCACGTCTCAAAGGTTCCTTCAGCGTTGCATGGCCTGGCCTCCCCAGGTTCTGCCCAGTGGTTGCAGCCCCACAGATCTTCAGACCCTGCCTCCATCATGGTTCTCCAGCGTTTCTCCTTGGCCCCGCCCTCGCCAGGCTTTTCTAGAGACTTCTACTTGGAAACTCCTCCCGCCCCGCCCTCCCAGGGTCCCGCCCTGCAGCCAACCCGCGAGCGCACCGAAATCTTGGTGAAGATGTACAGAAAAAGCGAGAGTACAGACAGGTAGAGGCGGATGCGGTGGCCGCCGAAGCGCTTGCGCAGGTACTGGGGCATCGTGATGACGCCCGCGGTCAGGTACACCGGTGCGAAGAGCCAGCCGAGCAGCAGCACCACGAACAGCGCCTGGGGGCAGCGCAACCCTGAGGGTGAGCCGTCTGAGCCGCTCCAGCCCCCCACCCCCAATGTAAGGGCAGAAGACGTCCTGGGCTTGACAGGGGAAGGTCTTGACACCACTTGGGCTCCCTGGCTAGAGTCCTCCTTGTCCTCTCAGCCGTGACCCCTGAGCAATCGCCTCCAAGGTGATCCCCAAGCACAGATGCCGCAGCCTCCCAGTGCCTGTCAGGCAGGGCTGCCTCCTTTCTCCTCTCCACTCACCCACTCAAACCTTCTGTCTGTCTGCCAAGGCTCAGTTCAGAGGCCGCCTCCTTCGGGAAGCCCTGAGCTCCTCAATTCTCCAAGGTGAATCTCAGTCCCACAACTCTGTCTCTTCCCTACTTCTGCAAGGGCTCTCACTGGCCTAGAGATCCTCAGAGGACACGGTCCGGAGAGCATCAGAAAAAGCCTTCACCACACTATAGAGAGGAGCAAATCTAGACACCGTGGGACTGGTCCAGGCTACAAAGGACAGCAATGGGTCCTCTCCTATACCCGACTTCACACTGGACATGTGTCACTCTCTCAGGAAGTCTGACCCCACCCGAGTCCCACCTTCAGCCTCATCACCTGGAGTCTCCCCAGTTATGACCTTGCAGGGGTTCTCACTGAGGGTGGGGGGTATTGGCAAGAAAGGGGGCCTCACATTCCACTCAAATCCAGCCACGGCCAAGCCGCTTGCAGCTCCAGTGCCTGCCAGGCCCACAAAGTGGCCGCTGCCGATGTTGCTGGCAAAGAGAGAGGCCCCAACCTGGTAGGGGGAGGGGGGCAGGGATGAGGTGAGCCAGGCTTCTTCTCCAGGGCCCCTCCCGCTGGCAGCCCAGCCTCTCTCACCGGCCACCACACCATGCTTCTTCCTGCCAGGAAGTAGCCGCCCACGGTGCCTCTGTTGGTTCTGCACATGGACTGGGGGACAGGAGTTGGGAAGAGACCTGGATTCGGGGCACATCTTTGGACCTCATTAGTCTCCTAAACACATTCCTCAGCCTTGTTTCAGACTGAAGATTAACCAGTGCCAGGCTCTCGTGGTTCACATTCCCCACCCCCACCTCCCAGGCACCCAGAACAACTCAGGCCCTAACCCAGTGTCCAGCCCCCCAAGCCTGAGTGTGACTGCATTCCACCTGATCCCCCCAGAGGCCTTGCTTATGGTCAGCCACATCACAGACAGGGGGACTGAGACCTCAGGTAGAACACTGTCCTGGCGCAACCACCAGCTCCCGCAATTAGCCTATCCAACTGCAGGAAGACAAGGAATGATGTTGGCTCAGGGCCTCCGTGAGGCTAGCAAGACTCGCTTGGCCCTCAGTCTGGGTTTCTCCCTCAAAGATCCAGGCATCCTGGCCCAACCACCTCCTTGGGTCTCCCGGAGACTCCCCACCATGGCCTTCAGCAGTAGCCCCTTGACTTCTCACCCATAAACCAACACCAATGACCAGCAGGAAATAAGCAGCAATGACCAGGATGTCAGCAGGGTTGTCAATCAAGACGCTCTGCTCCCCCAGCCCCGGCGCGGCACTGGCCTCTGTGTATTCCTCCATTCTGCCCGGGATCTGCTCCTCAAGGGACCAGCCCGTGGGTTTCCCCAGGGGGAGGATTAATGGTTACCTCAGGGGCAGTGAGCCGGCAAGTCCCCCCATCCTCCCTCCGCCTTGTTCCCCTTCCCCAGCTTAATTTAGCTGAATCAGGTCACATCAAGGTGAAGCTGGTTCTGGCGAGGTGGGCCCTTCAGCCTCAGGAGCGCTCCTTCCTGGGCCTCAGCCCCCACCTCTGCTCCAGCGCCCCAAGCTCACAATCACTTCTTCCATCCTCCTTCTTCCATTCACCTTCAGCCTTGATCTAGGGGGACTGGCTAAGTGAGTGTTCTCCTTATGACTAACCCAGAGGGTCACTTTCACACCCAAATCTGACAGTTTCACTCCCCTGCTCAGAAACCCTCCATAGCTTCCCCTCAGTCAGGAGAAGTAGAAGCTCCTTAGCCTGATAGTCAACTGCTGCCAAGCCCTGCCTCCTGCTCACCTTACCCTGTTCCTCTGAATCAAACCTAGACTGAAATCACATTTCCCTGCCCATTCCCTTGCTTTGCCCAGCACATGTGTTTCCGTATCACCAGCTGGACCTTCTGCTAGAAAGCCTCTCTGCCTCCCAAGAGGCCAACTCCTACTCAGCTGTCAGTACCCAGCCGTATAACCCCTCCAAAAAGACTTCTCTAAATTTTCTGATATAGTTCTGAGCTCATTGTATGGTCCTGTTTGGGCCCAGGTCTGTCTCCCCAACAGACTAGTGATTCTTCCAGAGCAGGAAGTGATCTATTTCATCCTCAGAGTCCCATTGCCCAGTGCAGGGCTGGATACGAGGAGGGAGAGGCTGATACACATCTGCCAGAAAAAGTACTCCACCTTTCCACAGAGGAACTGACCAGATTTGGATGACTCATTATGGCAGTTATGTCCATGCCTGAGATGGGGAGCGAGGAAAAATATCTTAGGGCTCTGTGTTGTTTAAGGAGTGCCTTAGTTAGGGTCTCCTCAAAAGCAGGCCCTAAGATGAGATTTTTTTTTAGATGCAAGAGTTTTATTGGCAAGTGAAGGTTTGGGAAATGAGACAGAAAGGAACAAGTCCCCTAGAGGCCGTGTTGATGAGCAGGTTCTCACTGGAACCCAAGCTCAGCAGCCACCCTCTGAGCACTGTGGAGAACAGCCTCAGCACCCAGCACCAGGGGCCAGGACCCCCAGGGGCCAGGACCTGGGATGTTTATTTACTGATTGCTGAGCCTAACTGGCTGGAGGCTACTGAACTCCCCCAGCCACTTCAGTCTGGCAGCATACAGAAGCCCACTCCAGCCTGCAGAAGCACCTGCAGGCAGTCTCAGAGCGCCGTTGGGAAATCTGGATGCCTGGACTGATCTGCACACAACTACCCAGGGGATGTGATCTGAGTGGGTGTGGAGAGGCACCCCCAGGGTCTGCTTCAGGGGTGATGCATTCAGCAGGCCTGAGCGAAATCCAGGGCAGGTATCAGAGGACATGCTGAAGTTAGCTTTAAATAAAATCTGTAAGTGCTCACTGTGGCTGACAAGGCCCTTCATGCTGGGCACTGGCTTCCCTTTGACCTCATCTCCTGCTCTCCTGCTGGCTCTAACCTAGCCACACTGGCCTCGTTTCCTTTCTTCCACAATGCCAAGCTTTCTCCTACCTCCTGGCCTTTGCACTTGCTGATTCCTGTGCTTGGAATGTTCTCAGGCTCTTTGCCTGGCTGACTTTTTCTCAACCTTCAAGTCTCAGCTTAGACATTAAATTTCAGAAGGCTTCTCTGACCATCTGGTTAAAGTAACCCCTCCCCTGCCTTCTTCAGTTTAGTTCTCCAGTTTTTCCTTCTCACCTTCCCCCCTTTCCCTCCTTCCTTAACAAGTATTTATCAAGTACCTGCCACATGCTACACTAGAGCCACATCGCCAGCAAAACAAGCCTGCCTTCCAACAAACAAGCTTTCAGGAGCCCCCACTCGAATTTCAGAAATAGACACAAACAAGGGACAAATAAACATCTACTTGCAATAATGACAAGAGCTACAAAGGGACTAGGGTTGTACTGTGGGTAGGAGCCAGGGGAAACTGTCAGCTTTACAAGTGGTCAGGGACGTCACCATCATCTATCACACTGTCACTGTGTGCTTGTTTCTCATCTGTCTCCCCTGCTAGGCCTCAGCTCTGCGTAGTTCCTTGTGGTCTCCCCAGCTCCTTCACGGAGTCTGGTACAGTCAGTGCTCCTTAAACACTTGGGGAATTAGCTCTGACTAGAAATGGTAAATGTGGGTGTCCTCACGACAGGAGGGAGGTTGTAAGTCAGGAGATGGACAGCACCCTCCCAGGAGAACATGTGGAAGGGAAGAACTTGGGGAGACCCAGGGAGAAGAGCCTCAGAGGGCAAAGCATCTGGGGGTCTGCTTCAGGTAAGGGAAGAGAACACCCACCTTTGTTTCTTGCCCACTCATGGGGTGGTCTTCGTGGCTGCTAGCTCCTCCTTGAGCTGGCAGGATCCATCATTTCCAGACTCAAAGGCTCTGATAGTTTGGATCTACAAGTGAAAGTCCCTCTCTAGGGAACTGTAGGGTCTAAGGTAAAGAGTCTGGGACTCAGAAAGTTCCCTGTGGCTTGGGGACTCAGGTGGAACCTGAACTTTTCCACACCTACAACTTCTGGTTTCACGCTTCTTTGTTGGGGCTTAGCTTGTGTCACCCCCTCCAGGAAGACTTCCTTGACTCCCAGTCTGTTAGAAGCCTCCTTCTGGCTTCTACATCCTGGGTGCTTTCCTCAGTCACTGCTCTGACCACACCAAATGCCATCTAGGGGAGGTGTTATTAGTCTATACTAGTAAAAAGGAAGCTGAGCCTTAGTACCCAAATCCAAAGTGTGGGTATGCACTGGCACTTCTGGATGGAGCTGTACTCTGGGGGTCCTCTGGAGAGGGTGTTTTGGATTAAATGTTTAAGAACATAGGGGGTTAAGAAAGGGGGAATGGAGCAGGGAGGTTTGATGGGGCCCAGCTTGAGCTCGGTTCCACCCAATACTATCTACACAGCCCATGCAGGTTCCCACAGCCCATGCAGGTTGCCGCCGCCCTTGCCAGTCTTAGGCTCATTTGTGATGTGAAAAACAACCTTCTATGTGGCCGCAGTGTCAGACGCTGCCGGTCCCTCCGCCCCAGGGAGGGGCCTGGAACCCGCCGGCCTGGGGGCGGGGCCAGGCAAGGCTGTCCCGTACACGCACCGCACCAGCATGAGCGAGGCTTGAGGGAAAACGTGTATTTATGTAGGTAGAAAAAAGTGCACAGAACAGTGAGGGCGTGGGGAGCAGGGTAGCCCGGCCTGGCCTCTGAGTACTCGGAAGTGCGAGAGCAGGGGGCTCCCCTCAAGGTGGGAATAAAGAGAAGCCTCACACGGAACGGAACGCTGGTCAGCGCACGACCACATGGGGGTGTGTGGCTTGGGACTGACGGGTCTTTTCCGAACTTGACCTCGGAGGTTGTACAGTACCTCGGGGGTGGGCCCCCGCAGAGGCGGGGCCCCACTGGGCGGGGCAAGCTCCCAGGTGTCGGTGTCGGCCGGGAGCTCGGGAAGACACGGCCTTTCGGGAAGGGCGGGGCCCTGGCCTCGGTCTCCCGGAGGGTCGCGGTCACTCGATCACCCGAAGAGCTTGAAGAAGCAGGGCTGGCAGTAGGGCTTGCCGGCGCGCTCCTGGAAGGAGCCCTTGGTGAGCGGGCGCAGGCAGAAGGTGCAGGTGAAGTGGTCGGGGTGGAAGCGGCGGCCCAGGGCCGACACGCAGCGACCGGTCACCGGGAGGCCACACGTGGCGCACAGCGAACCGCGCCGCGCGTGGAAATGGTTCTCGCACAGCGGGCGGCCCTCGTGCTCGAAAAAGCTGCCTCCGGAGAAGGGCGCGAAACATTCCTGAGGAAGGGTGGCCGCGTGAGGACGGGTCAGCCGCCGAGCCGCCGACCCCTCACGGCTGCGCGCAGCTAACCCACCGAGACGCCCAGACGCGGAGCCTCGGCTCCAGGAGCACCCGGTGCGCAACCGTCGCCCGTCCGGGTCCCGGCGCCGGC